ATGAAACTAGAAAAATGCTTGTTTTTTGCCCCTTTTTTGGCCCCTAATTCCTAAAATTTTGAGGCAATTACCCCCAAAATCAATTACAGCCTTCCCTTTGTGATATGGAACCTTGTGGTACAATGTCAGAGACACGGCCACCAATCCAACTAAGTCATACACAAATAATATGAAAACAAGTGCGTTAATCCGACTTCCGAGTATGCAGTAGAAGTAATAAACAATCAAGAATTGCTATACTTTCACAAGGTAAGTCACCTATTTATATCATAAGCTTTATAGTTTTCAAAAAACCGAGAATGTCATTCGACCCTTTATTTTGTTTTCCTTCATTTGTTATCACAACTTTGTTGCACATTGAGTAGTATTTTTACTACAGCTTTTCTCCCGGTGAATAACGATACAATCTGCACGAAATTCTTACCGACATCTTATGTTATTTGTTAATAAGACACGTTATGCATGAGTACTGGTACATTTATTGATCGGTGTGATATATAGATTAATTCTAGAAAGCAAAATACTTTATAATTGTACTAATTATCAAATTATCGCAACAAAATTAAGAATGTATGGTTAAGAAGGACCATATATGACTTAAAAGTAACGAGTATGATTAAGTGAGAGATATTTTAGTAACCAACATGATGATGTTCTTTTACACAATGTCAATGCTAATTATGAATAAATTCATCTTTAGGTACCGTCCTTCCTTTAGGGGATATATATCTAACAGTAATAATTAGCCAGTAAACATGAAGGTTTAAATTCAACCCTGTTAAGGCGGATGCGCTCGACTCCTATCTTAGTTGACTGGGATTGCCAGTTTTCTTACCGAAGACCGGAGTGTCTACTGGAAGCCTTCAACAATAAAAGAAAACTAATAGTCGAAAACTGAGCTAGCAAAACAATCCATTTAATTTCAATTTTTGCGGTCGTATAAAAATCGCATCTGCTCTATCTCAAAAAGATTTTTACAGTGTAGTGTACTACTATTGATACAAATAATATCAAAATTATAGAAACTTCTACCAGCTCTAACTCAAAATATTGACAATTCTGTGTTAAGGGGGGCTACAATTCAGTTTGACAGCTTCAGACATTCTAATTTTTGACCTTTTTTAACTGGACCAAATCACTACTTAACATAAAGATTCAGCACCCAATTTTTTTTAACAAGTAATTTCATCCCCTTACTTAATATTTCATGCATAAAATATCAAGAAATAAATTGGGAAAGTGTATCAAAAAAAAATGCAAGTTATACACTGTTCACACTAGGGACTATATTCGTAGACAACGAAAACCAAAGTACGATAACTGTGTCCTTGGACCATTTATGTAAAAACTAATTGGAGGTTATCTTCATAGATATAAACCAGTCACCAAAGTTTCATGAAAACTGCTCAAAGCACATTAAAGATATTGTCCCAAAACTGGAAAATCACCCCTTTTTTATGAATAAAATCCCACAACTCGGAAATGTAAAATCTAAAATATATAAACATCAAAAGGGAGCTTATGTCAATAGATATAAACAATTCACCAAAGTTTCATGAGAACTGCTGAAAGCATTTTTGAGTTATTGTCCAAAAACTGGAAAATCCCCCTTTTTTTAATGAATAAAACCCATAACTCAGAAATGTAAAATCTAAAATTTATAAAAATCGAAAGGGAGCTCATGTCAATAGATATAAACAATTCACCAAAGTTTCTTGCAAATTGGTGAAAGTGTTTTTGAGTTACTGTCCGAAAGCTGGAAAATCCCCCTTTTTTAATGAATAAAACCCCACAACTCAGACATGTCGGAAAAGTATAATCTACAATTTATAAAAAAACAAAAGGGAGCTCACATCAATAGATATAAACAATTCACCAAAGTTACATGCAATTTGGTTTAAGCGTTTTTGAGTTATTGTCCGACATGTTGACATGTAAAAGTCAACAGTCACTTATTAATTTTGCTGGTATTCTATATAAATAGCTAGCTACTTGTACAAATGTTATTTTTGTACTATCTTTTCTACAAAATATATGAACAAGAATCATGAAAAGAAAAAGGCTTATTAACTCATCATCAATATTCAGTAAAGAGATATGACACTATTTCTAGAGTAAAATACAGCGAACACAAAAACGTCACTAAAAATTATAACCCTTAAAATGTTGTCATACACTTACACCCCATGGGGCCTTTCAAAAGTGGGCAAGTATATATGTCTTGCTGATCCTTTTTGAAATTTACACTTTTAATCTTTTAAAGTTTTCACAATAACTGCTAAAAATTGGAATAAAATTGATATTTCAGGGGGCAATAACTCCAAACAAGTGGTCAGATTTTTCTCCAATTTTCAAGGCGGGAACATCTTGTCATGCTGGTCATTTGTTAACTTTACACTTTCAACCTAGCTCCTATATTTTTGAAACAATGGTAAAGAAATGCCCAAAAGTTGAAAATCATCATTTCAGCTGCAATTAAAGAACCTTTGTGAGCACGCTCACATACCCCACGCCCCCACATTGTCACTGGGCAAACAAAATCTCAACCGATTCCTAAGTTCAAAGACTAACTACTCCTACAAAGGTCAACTGATAAAAATTTCTTATGGATATGCACATCTACATTTTATGTCCTTATTATCTACCAAGTTTCATGAAACTCTGTTGTATGTATCAGAGGAGTTGCGATGACTAACAGCTGCAGTAGTATATTTAGGCCAAGATTCTGAGTTCAAAGAGGCATAACCCCTAGAAAAAAAATTGAATCAAAATATCCTGTGGACATGCACATCTACATATATAGTATGTCGTAACTAAAGATAAAGTTTCATAAAATTCTGTTTTGTGCACGTGGCTTCAGAGGAGTTGCGAGACAAAACCTTGCAATCTTATATTAAGACCAAAATTCTAAGTTCAAATATGCATAGCTCCTAGAAAAAATAAAATGCTTTGCTGAGCGCAGCCTGATACAACCGCAGAGGTCAAACCCTGAACAGTTGGGGCAAATTTGGACACAATATGACATCAGACTCTGACTTCTCTTGAACTGAATATTAATGTGCGTATTGTTATGCGTTTACTTTTCTACATTGGCTAGAGGTATAGGGGGAGGGTTGAGATCTCATAAACATGTTTAACCCCGCCGCATTTTTGCGCCTGTCCCAAGTCAGGAGCCTCTAGCCTTTGTTAGTCTTGTATTATTTTTTATTTTTAATTTTAGTTTCTTGTGTACAATTTGGAGTTTAGTATGGCGTTCATTATCACTGAACTAGTATATATATTTGTTTAGGGGCCAGCTGAAGGACGCCTCCGGGTGCGGGAATTTCTCGCTGCATTGCAGACCTGTTGGTGGCCTTCTGCTGTTGTCTGTTCTGTGGTCGGGTTGTTGTCTCTTTGACACATTCCCCATTTCCGTTCTCAATTTTATGGTTGATCAACCTGGACGAAAATCAGGCCATTGGTTTTCTATTTTGTTTTAGATTTTGTAATTTTGTAATGTCGGGGCCTGTTTTAGCTTATTATACATGTAAGGTACTCAGGATTCATTTATTTTCGTAGGTACCAATTTTCTATGATTGAGGAAAAATTGTATATTTGTGGAAACTTGATTTCGTGGTTTTGCCAAAGTCTGCATACAAGCCTATAGATAATTGGCACTTTGTTGAACACCTTATTTTGTGGTTGAACCTATTCACCAAAATTGATTTCCCACGAATATTATTGAATCCACAGTATTGGTTTTGATCATTGTTGAAGGCTGCATGGAGACCAGTCTGTGTCCAAGTGTCTGTCTGACATTGGTTCTGCTAGTCATGCCAACCATATATACTGTATATATGACCAATAAGATTTTGTCTGACTAAAATAATTTTTTTTATGACTTATTTATTCTACTCCCTTCTATTTCGATGATTAGCAAATGGATTTATGTCACAGCTTTGAATTGTAAATAATTTGTTGGATTGTATATTCATCTCTTTTCTGCCTCTTGCCCTTTTCAATTCCCTAAATGTTACTTAACACAACCTTTCTAATTTACTAATATTTTGCTACTGCCATCTTGATCAAAAACGGATGTACAGTGTAAAATACAACTGCCAGTGAAACCAGAATTTCAGGACTCATGCAAGCAATGGAATCACCTTATCCGGTTTTAGTCACTACTATTGCAGTATGATGAAAAATGGTGATTGCACAATTAGTCAATTAAAAAGAAATTAACAATTGTAAAGTATTTTTAAGGAATATCTATTGAATAAAGGTGGTGGAATTCAGATAAATATATAATTAAACAAATGTTGTACAACTGTGAGCTTCGGCATCACAAGTTTTCCTAGAAACTGTCCTTGTGCTGGATGATACATCACCAGACAATCCGATCGATACAAACAAATGATTTGGCGCCAGTCGGTCTGACATGAATTTTCTTTTTCAAGGCTGTTGGTTTTCTGACGTTTGGCACACACTGGGTGACCTATAGTTGATTAAATCAATGTCATTTGAACTCTGGTGGCAATATTTATATCACAACTCCTCGCTTTTATATTATGTGACCAATGTATGCCTTATTTTATGAATACACCTTATCGCTATTTGTCCGCCATTACTGGACATCACACAAGTTCCCGTAAATTTTTGACGTCATAATAGAAAATATCTGACGCCACAATGGAAAAGTGATTGTTGTATGACGTCAAAAGTTCGAGTGGGACTGATTCTCGGGTCAAGCGGGATTAGCGATAAGGTGTATTTATGGTTTCATGTTGGAGATAATTGTTCTTTGTTAGATGACAATTTGACTTTTGAAGGTTAACATGATAATAAATTATTCACATGTCAGCTAATTCGCGGGTGTCCTCTAGTACTCTAACTGTTCAAAAAATGTCCTCTCTCTATAGTATACAATTTCATATGACAGATAAAAATTATGCCGGTTACATGTTGAATATAGAATCCAGAAAGCTAAATTATGAGTGGGTTGTTTTGAATGACATTCTTACTTATCCTAGGCTGTGAGATGTAGTCTCTTGTAACTGCAAGTTGGTTTATCTTTCGTGCAGCAACATCATTTAATGGTCCATTGAAAGAACTCATGTCAATAGTTTTCGCCATGTTGACCACTATTTTCAACGGTCATGTGATATCACGAGGAAGTGCTCATCGATCCTTAGTCAGATCAAGGGTACCATAAAATAAAATAATTTGAAAAATATATTTTATCGCAATAACCACAACTATTGCCTACTTATATTCATGGTCCGACTGTGGAATTATTTATGCTATTACAAAAAAAGACTTAATAGGGACAAAAGGAAATGAATACCCAACGAAATGATTGAATTGAAAAAGGGTACAATGATTAAAACCGGATCTCGAACAATCATTTCCGGATAATTTGACTAATCATTCATTATTACTACTCTAAATTTGAAATTTGAAATTTATGCATTTATGCCTTGAAAATTTTGACCAAAAGAGTTTCTCAAAGTAGTCTATGTTACTTTTTTCTGCAGGCGCTTAGGAATGGATTTGTTGTTTTTTAGTAAAAAAAAATATTTTAACTATAATTTAATATGTTCTTGCTCTTAGTCATATGCTATTACATAAACTGTAGTTAATATATGATTCCCCTCTATCAATGATTCTCTTCATATTATATAAGCTTCAATTTTCTGTTCTGTTGATATGTGCATGATGTTTTTTTTTTCTTCTTCTTTTTGCGTTTTCTACGCTTTAATTTTGTTCATGTTTATGATAATACTATGCATTATGATTTATGAACTAACTGTAAAATATGAATCAGTTATTTGTTATTGATGAAACTAACAAGTTGTAGCATTGTTGGAGGATGTCAATTTATTAATATACTTGAATGATAGGTGACTGGTCGATGGCCAACAAGACAGATGTTTAAGTCAGCCTGGCTTAAATGATCCTCCGCCTTTATTTTAATCTCGATCAGTTCCATAAAAAAAACATACAACATACCAGCCTACAGAAAATGTTCTCCTGACAATATTTATATACGTTTCGGCGGTAAATGTCACCGACAGATTGGAGGTATTCGGTACCAAGTGCACCTTTTAATAGCAGACTTGTTCATGTACTGTTATGAATCACAGTTTATTGTTAAACTCAGCAAGGATGGTGAACCGTTTATATTCCATTTAATTGATAACTTCAACTAGACTTACCGTTATCTTCATGATATTTTTTTCGTTAATAATCAAGAATTCTCTAACTACACTTCCAAAATTTACCCAAAATTAAGGAACTTACTTTAAATAAATCATTGTGTAAATCAAATATAAACAGCACTATAATAACTGCAGTCATGATATTTCAGTTTTACACAGGCTGAAACTGTACACAAAAATTTACATTTTTTTTGTTAATTTTCCTTCTTTTTTGGGCGGTGGTATTCCTTTGGCACTGCCATCTTACGGTGTTTGTATATCCCAACTCGTTCGCTATGCACGTGTCTGTAGTGAAGTTTTTGATTTCAATAAACGTAATGATTCATTAATCTATGTATGATTAGTAAATTATTAAGTCAATGATTTCGTTATCACAAATTATTTTAAACCTTTACTAAATTTTTCAATAGATACAAAGCTAAATTTGGTTTGGAAGTTTGGCTGTACCTGTAGAAAACTTATTACAAACGGGGTAATACAACCTAATTTTTACGGTGATGTTGCCGTTTACCGAGTCCGTAAATATAGAATCATACGATCCGGGTAAACTTATCGATCCTTTGACTTGATAAACTTATTCTACGAGGTTACCATTTTAACACTGTAATTAGAATTTTGAATATTGTTTAGTATCGGTGTACATATTGTTTAGTATCGGTATAAATATTGTTTAGTATCGGTATGAATATTGATTTCGTTATCAGTAAATCAAAACCAAACTATAAAAATTATTGATATTCACATATGTATATTCACGGTCTTACAATCTGTCGATATCTGTATTTTGGCATTGCACAAGGCCATGCTTTTCTCTGATGTGTACTGGTTGATGTTTTAGTCTTTGATACATGATTTTTTGTTATTGGCTTTGAACTAGCTTTCGGTAATTGCGAATATTCTCAAATCTGTATTTGTGTCCTTTCAGTGTATTTTTGTTCGTTTTTTTTTTTGTGCTTTGTGTCGATCTGATGAGTTGAGCCCTTTTCAACTTATTTTTTTAGTTTGTAAAAGTTTTCTTATTCAATTAAATGCTCCTTTGAACAATCTGTTTGCAATTCGTATACTGCCAGCTACTATAATGGCGAAAAACAAAAAGTTTCTGGCCATGCTATAGTCCGACGATAATTTTGTTCATCTTACATGGTCAAAGTTATAAATGTAAGAGTAGTAAAAATTAGTAAAACCAAAGGACACGATTACACACAGAAACAAAACAGGATTTATGTTACACTATTGTTTCAGATTAGGGGAAGGTTTGGTACCATTAAAACGTTTAACTCGCTGCAATTGTTTGCACCAGTCCTAAGTCAGGAATCTGGTGTTCAGTAGTTGTCGTTTGTTGATGTGGTTCATAAGTGTTTCTCGTTTCTCGTTTTTTATATAGATTAGACCGTTGGTTTTCCCGTTTGAATGGTTTTACACTAGTATTTTTGGGGGCCCTTTATAGCTTGCTGTTCGGTGTTGAAGACCGTACTTTGACCTATTATGGTTTTTATTCATAAAATTTTGACTTGGATGGAGAGTTGTCTCATTGTCACTCATATCACATCTTCTTATATCTATTTTAACAAGTTGCGTCAGCACAAGATAAGTACATATATTAAAAAAAGAACCCTTCCAAAGCGTCTACTTTTGACCCCCTAAACAAAATTCTATGGTTTCGTGTTACACAATCTTAAATTTCGAAGCACTATACAAATTTATTACAGAATAATGTCAGAGCAAAATATAGGGACCATATTGAATTAAAAAAAAAAAACAAACGGATGTCGAACAAAATGAAATGACATGAAACAAATAAAGAATTACAAAAAAACATTGAAAACACTGCATACGCACAACTACTTGACACTGTATCCTGGCTTCAGATTAGCACAAAAAAAGGTTGCAGAGTAAAGAAGAGTGATAACGTATACTATCATACTCTCAGGAGGTCATACTCCAACTAACTGATTTACCTTCTTTTAAAATTCAAACTAGTTCACTTATTTATGTGTCTTTTAAGTTTTGGAATGTCGCAATCTCCATGTTAATATAATCTGAATTACTAAGTAAACTAAGCTCACTAGATTATATTAATGAGATACAGGGAATCTGTACAACAGACTGACCGATTGCTTTGAACAGTATACCATCATTAATTAATGTATTTTGCCCAAAAAGCATATGTGATTTTATCGGGATTTCGGGATATTGTGAAATAAGGCCCTGGAAATCGATATTTGGCAAAATAAATCCGGGATTGGACCCGCTCCGACCCCCCCCCCCCCCCATATATATATATATATATAACCAGCAATATTTGTCCTTTTCTAGATTAGGTAATTTTAGTTTCAAACGGGAAACTCTATTTATACATAAGCTGTATTACATTTGGCGTACTGGATTTGATATGGACAGAGAAAAAGAATCAAGTGACTTTAATTTTGAAATAAATTAACTTTTGCCGGAAGAACAACGTGTCTGCTTCCAAGAAAGTTTTTTGTTGACTGGTACCTATAAATATTACAACCAGTTCTTATTTAGACAATTAGGTTTTCTTTAATATAATTCTACGGCAATGAAAATACTAATTATTTAAAAAAAAATATTTTCTGACTAAAAATGATCCATTTTACGAAAAAATAAGGAAAAACTGACTTTCAAATCTCGCGAGATGTAATATGGCGGCTTGGTTTCAAAATTGGGCCAGTCAATAAATGTATATTTAGTATTAACTGAAATTATATAAACCCAGAATGTCCAAACAGGTACAGAGCTACCTATGGTGATAAAAGGCCAATAACAAATACAAAGAATCTTTAATTTATGTTAAATGAATAACATTTCCACCTAAAATTCATCCTTATGCTGACCTGTCTGTTTGTTTACATTTTGACAGTTAAAACATGTTGTAACATGTTGCCCGCCGACGCAAGTAAAATGTCTTACATACCTGGAAAATAAGGTTAATTATTTTAACATGTTTTGATTGTGTTTGGTAAGATCGTTTACTATGACTCATTTTGTATGCTATCACTGGCTATTATTTATAAATTATATGTAGAAAAATATTCCAAACTGACAGAAGAAATTATTTAGAGTAGATAATAAAGTGCCAGTCTTTGTAAGAACCAGGAAATCTACAAGAATTTCAAAACAATACTGAAAAAAAAACCACTGAGTTGACCATTCTATTTTGAAGTAACCCTTGTCCTGAGTTAGAAATGGTAGGTCTTTTGTTTCTGTGCGTCTGGTAATTCGAGAAATCTCTAGATAACTTTTATACGGATTTAGCTCCCCTTAATTGTTAATTTCTAGTGCATTTCAACAAAATTATATCTTGAAATACCAGAACAGGAAAATGAAACGAATGTTATATTCGTGCACCAATATACAATTTGAACTTAAAATCAATGTCAACTTAAGTTGGTGTTTGTTTGTCATGTTTTCACCACTGATTCTTAGGCAGATTGGCACTTAAATAATGAATTGAAGAAATTTATAATCCTTAGCAAAACAAGTGGGCCTGGTGTCCAGGTGAACAATAAAAGTATTTGAATCTTAAAATTTTTAATTCCTAATTTTAATGTACAAACACAGAAAATGTCAGAACAAGCTCAAACACTAATGCTTTAAACATTACTTTTCCAAAATTGTTCACTAGGAGCACAAATATAAAATTTGGTACCCTGGAAAATACATATGTTAGACTTGGATCAACGTCCTGTCTCTAATTGACGTAGATTTCCAAATCGACGTCCAATGTACAGTCAATGTTAAATATTTTTACTTTCTAATAGACGTCCAATAAAATGTCATGTATTACCAAAACCACGTCCGATTAATCGGAGGCTCCTCTCATTGATGTACTATATCCTTTAATCATTAACTCTTTTGAGTTTGATCTTTTTTTATACTTTCTGTATCGTTTTGTCTTAGTGTAAAGCAAGTAACAACGTCGCCCTGTATGTCAGAAACTATTTATGATGATTGCATAAAAATTCACACACAAGACGACGGGCGTATCATGCGCTCATGGCGCAGCTGTTTATTTTTTCATGTTTTAATTAATTTTTTTTGTTATTTCTGTAAAACAAACTTTTTTTCTCTTCATATGTTCATTGATGAGTCAAATTATTTTTTTCCACATTTTCAAGAAACAAACTTTTTTTTCCAAAAAAATCCATAGCCCTCCCTCCCCCCCCCCCAGAATATCAAATGGTTGCTGCCTAAGGAGTGTGCTGCCATGTTGACTTGATGAAATCCTTAAATGTGAGAATAGTGCAATATAATAGAAAATAAAACAATACCTATCTCAGAACTCCATTTTAATGCGATATCATCCAAATTTTGAGCGTAAATGTAACAGAATTACCTTCAGTGTGAGAGTTTTCAGTCATATTATGACTTCATGTTTTGACATGACTTTAATGCATCAAGATTGTTCCTGAAATTTTCTGAAATTTTATTTTATTCTAATTTCATTCATTTTTCCAAGCTCTGATGCATAAATTCTTTCTTTTATGCATAAAAATAGGATTTACAGTTATGTAGTTTAAATTTCAATTTAATCACATCAAAATTGACTACAGTGTTTGCTTTAGTGTTCATAAAGGTTAGGATATGTGTGGATTTATGTGGGAGGTAAATCATGTAAATTGTAACAGCCATTTATATGTTTATATCTGAGTCTGTGCTAAGTATAGATTTATCGAGAATTTTATCATACTGTTGTTTACCATGTTTACTAAGCGAAAGAAGCTGTCATATTAGAATAAAAAAATGATGTTTTCACTTTTGATTATTTAGATGCATTTGCTCCTAATGACCCTAAATCTGTCTCCGAATAACCTTCTGGCATCATAAAAACAATAAATTTTTATTTACGAGCTGAACTGTTTTAAATTTTGACACAAAATTTAAGGGAACTTGTTTGACTTTAAGTAATAGAGAACAAATTTGTATCAAGTGAAAATACGTCTGTGGTGCTTTTGACGAAAATTCAAACATATTGTTTTTATCAAATGAGACTTTCAGTCGAAAAAAATTTAAATACCAATGTTACAATTTTACTATGACATCTATGGAAATATGTATTTTTTATTTGAAATATTTATATTCAAATAATTTTTAACCGGATTTCTGAAGGAAAAATCTTATTGATTTAGAGATGTACAGCGGGCGGGCTGGCGACTGCCAAACATTGTCCAACCGTTCAACCAAAGCTTTTCAAATTTTAATATGTTGTTACTGATGACAAAATGGAGGTCAAGCTCAATATTGAAGATTTTCTCTTTCACCGTTCAGGAGTTATGGTTCTTGAAAGATTGAAAAATGGTCTTTCCAGTCGTGTCCATGCTATAACTCATGAACTGTTCAACCAAAGCTTTTCCAATTTTTATATATTGTTACTGATGACAAAATGGAGGTCAAGTTAAATATTGATGATTGTCACTTTGACCGTTCAGGAGTTATGGTCCTTGTGATATTGAAAAATGCCAGGACACAAATAAATGTTAAATAATCCTGTTTGCTGTCGCTCTGACAGCCTTTTGTATTACCTTTAATAACGAGGGATGATTATGCAGTGTACAGCATATATATGTGGTACAATGTATATGATTTTATTACCCTTTAATGAGTAGGTATATATATATATGGTGGTATGTCTATATGCATAATTATAATAAAAACATATATAATAGAAATTAGTAAAATCAATATTAATCAGCAATTTTTCATTATGACTTCCACTTCAGAAATGTTTATAGATTTTTTCTGTCCCTTCCGTAAACATGTTAAAAAAGAACACAGAATGGATGTCCTCATTATCACAGAAATTTTTCTCATTTTCACATCATCCAAATTTACACATCTTTTTCTTTTACAAACTCTCCAACTTTTATACTAATTGTTCTTTATTATGGGCCAAACCAACTTGGGGCGGGATTGGTTTTGGTGGAATGACTTGATACCATGTAGAATCATCAACAAATATATGAAGTAGTTTCAGATAAAAAATATCTAAAAAAAAACAACATTGGAATGTTTTTCATTTGCACTTTTTACATTTGTTCACTTAATTTCTCTTGTTTAATTAGGAGAATATTGCAGAAAATAATACAGAAAATTTTTAAGTGGCAGTTGTATGTAATATTTATTAAAATTTATGACATCACCTATTCATTGTTACTTGACCTTTTCATTATTTTTACTTTGGCAGGTCTGGTTTCTTTTACCTGAACAGGAAACATTGGAAGATGATTTAACAACTGGATCTGGGGCTATTTTATTCTCACATCAATTACAAGAAAGCATGTCTGATAGCAGTCCACAAAATAGTCAAGTTGTTCCAAGGCTAGACTTGAATAATCAAGTAGGTTCCATATTTTTGAAATTTAAGAAGTATTTTTGATAAATTGTGTTTTATTGTTCCTCTACAATATTAGGAGCATCGATGTGGGAAATCCTAGGCTCGATTTAATATTAAAAGAACTCTCATGCTAACATTTGTATGAAAAGATAGTGTAGCCAATATGTCATTCAAGTTAGAAATTCAAAAAGAATCTGTGTTTTTCCTAGAGGGTTTATGCATGGTGGTGACCCCAACATTGATTATCAAGTTAACGTTTTTTTATCTGAAGGTTAACTAAATATCTGTTGATAACAATAGTATTAACATATATTTTCTTAAAGGGGCATTAGCTATGAGGTATAAAAAAAATTAAAATATGATTTTTTTTGGTTGAATCATTAATGAAAGTGAAATAGCGAAATAATAATTCGTTTTTGGCAGCCAGTTTAGTTCAATTTTGTCAAAATAAGCTAAGAAACATCACTGACGAATTATTCATTTGCAAGTGAATAATTCGACCTCATTGAATCTGTATTCATGTGACCTTCAATTTAACCCATTATCTAGAGATTTGTTACGCATGTATAAGTTTTGTTCAGCTATTAAAAAAGGAAAAGAATGTCAATATTGAAAGTGAAACAAGGATGAACCATTTCGTTGACTGGTTTGATCCACAAAAAATCGTTTTTATACAGGTAAAAACGATGATTAACTTAATTTTTTAACCTACAACATGAAATCAAACAGACCTAGAAAAGTCCAATTGCACGAGGTCGCTATTTATTTATATTTATGTTTACCGGTATGTGACAGTCGGCAATCATCTCAATGGTTAATTAGATGGCGTCTAGACTAAAATACACACGAAATACTGGTATATATTATTGAGTCCGTGCATTGTTAATTGTTTATTTCAGACTTATTGTAATTTGGATATATGTTTTAGTATGTTATAAATCAAATATGAGAATTTGAGTTAAATCGGTGAACATGAATTTGACAGCTAATGCCGTATTAAGATATATCTGTCATGTCTGTCATGCCTAATTAAAATTTATCCATTATTATTTTTTTTAGACACATTCTCCAAGTGATAGTAGAGAGTCTACACAAAATGACATCTCCTCTCCATCCCTGCACAGAGGATTTTCTTCTGATGATAATTCTGGTTGGAAATCTGAAACCACAGAAACTTCAGAAGGTAATTTTACTTGTTCATATTTTGTTCTGGGCCTAAATTTTCTGATTCTATTTAACAAATGTATGTTGATTTGTGATATAAACCTTGAGACTCAGTATTGCTAAGTTTTGAAAAAAGATGGATAATTTTACAAATGAAACCGTATGTGAACAGTAAATCAGGGAGACATTTAGGGTGTGCAATCTTGTTTTTTATATTTAGATCAACAGTACAATTCAAATTTACAATTTGATATATGTTCTTCAAAGAATTTGAAAATGTACATTTCATTATAAACATTTGTATATATATGATGTAATTATAGGAAACTTGAGTTTGTCTCAGTACCCATTAGATGATCCATCATGTGGTGAGGAGTCTCCTCAAGATAATAATAGTCTTCATGAGGAAGCTTTGACAACAGCAATTACAGAGGTTTCCAAAGATTTTATTTCTGGTAATTTTTCTCCTGGAAAATATCCACCGATAGAAAGTGACAGTTCTGATGGGGATCATCATTTAGATGGACATACTGGAGCAGTTTATGCCAGATATCCAGAATCAGCTACAGGAATGTCAGATTGTGAATGGAATCCCTACGGCACAGATAATGATAACGAGACACCAAGATCTTCGGCTAGTGATTCAGAGTTCAGGAATATTCAGTCTTTTACAGCAACAAGCTCAATGAGACAGAGAGACCCTGAGATAAGGATACCAACAGCTTCTATGAATAATGGAGAATTAAACAGAATGATTTCAAACCCTACGGTAACAAGGGATTTTGTTAGGATACCAACTGATACAGTAAATGAAGATAGAATGAAGGATGCAAATGCTGGAGATATCAAAAGAGATTTTATGAGGATATCAATTGATAAAGAAGGTATACCCACTGTGACTTCATTGGAAGGGAGACAATTCAATAGAAATGAAAATCCTTCTACCTCTGATAAAAGAGAACATGCACCATATAGACCAGCTGGTATTTCCAAATCAGATGGAGAGCAAAGTCAAACAAATAAAGAGACATCTAATATCCTCCCTGCTTCACGTAGACTTGCAGCTGATATAGTGAAAGATTCCTATGCAATGTATTCACCAGAAAAAGAATTTGATGCAAGAACTTCTGAAAAGACAGAGAAGACATCTACAACAACTAGTACCTTACTAGGATCAGGTGACAGGACATCCCAGCTAACAACTAACCAGTATATACCAGGCAGTCATAGAGAATTGTATGGTACACAATCTTACAACCAGCTCTCTCGAAATAGTGAATTAATGCCAAAAGTATCTACCTCAGAAATAAAAGGAAATGTTTTATCGGGTAGTTCCAGCACTACAATTGTTCCTGATAGTCTTCATACACAGGACACAGTAGAAACAGAGGTATCTGGCAGCATTTCTTCAGTTGACATTGCAAGGAGAGAAAGTGCCAGTAAATATGATTCTTCGAGTTCTTCGAAACCTTCTGAGGCTCCTTATGTGCCTGTTGGTGATAGAGCCAAACTTTTAGGACTACCTGAGGATTTCTTGGATCAGCCCAAACCTTCTGCATCTACTGATTTTGCTGTGCCAAGGATTACAGACCTCCCTTTGCTATCTCGAGTTCAGATTCCAGAGAAGGATACAGATTTTCCTAGCAACTCAAAACAAGAAAGCATGTCAAAAAGAGTTTCTAAACTTTTGGAGGAAGCAAGTAACTTAGGAACTACTCTTCATCATCATCTATACAGCAGAGAAGCACTGGGACTTGAAGGTGATAGAGAACCTACTGTTCTGAGATCTTACTCCCCCTTAAGAAAAAGTGACAATTTTGTACAAAAGTCAGCTGAAAGGTGTGTTACTCCAGCATCTGCTCTTCTCACCAAATCTGGTGAGCAGAGTATAAGGTCTTCTCTAGGTGACGAGGTTGCTAAATTAATGATTAAAAGTAATGATGGAACAGTAAATGATTTAACAAATGTTCCATCAAGCTCATCTTATGTTCCTTTGAAAACCCAGAGCATTCAATCAAGTGAGACCATGAGTGTAATAAGTGCACAGACTTATCCATCGCTTGCTACTGCTGCTGTAGGAGGTGGACCTGGCTCCACTGATAGTCAAGAATCCTCAGATTCCTTAAGTCAGAGAGTTAAGAAAATCTTATCTGACACTGCTTATGCGGATAGAAATAGGCAGAGTACGGCTGCACCAGGTGGTTCAGAAGCAACCAATTTTGACTACTCCCGGCTTCAAAGAGATCTACAAGAAATTCAGAGCAACTTAGATCCTGGAATTGATTACAATATGAGGATTTCAAATCCTTCTCCAGACTTTTCAAAAGCAAGTGATAAATCTACTGAAAGTTCTAAAGCCCATAAACTTCTATGGGACCATGGGGCTGATTTAGGATATGATGATAGTTTATCAGGGAGATTTTTTGGGACAATGAAAACTGACACAGAAACAGAATGTGACAGTACATACTCTGGAAAGGGCTATAATGGGTTGTCAGATACATTAGAACTTGTTAACAAACCTCAAAAGGACACTGCAGAAGTTGTGTCAGATCAAGTTGAGTCCGACTTTGAAGACAGATCTTTGAAGGTCGCTCCAGATGTGGAAGAGATTATTCGTAGGTATCAAACAGAGAAACCAGATAAGTTAATGGATTCAGGAGATAGCTCTGGTTTAGCATCAAAAGTAATGAAAATACTATCACAGGAACCTCCTAGAAAACAGGCAATCAGTATTTTAGAATCTGCAAAACAGGAAGAGCAAGAAATGATAAAAAATATGGCTGATAAGCCAAAGCTAGATACAAGCTATGATAGTAGTCAAGATTCAACAAACAGCAGCTTTGTCATTCAAGACAAAGATGTAAGAAAGCAGCTAGAATGGTCTCAAATGAGTGGAATTGACAAATCGATAAATAATTCTTATCTAAGTGGACTTAAAACACAACCATTCAGTGCTCTCGGTAATGCAAAAACATTCTTATCTACTCAACTTGCCAAGAATGCAGATCGGACGTTTAACCATAGCATTGACATAAAGACACCTTACAGACATGTACTTGACTGTTATCCTGTTTATGGTGTAGAGCGTACCCGGGGAGCTGCAGAGGTGGACCAGTTTGGTAGGACAGAGCCTGATGGGGTAAAGGAAGCATGGGCTGATGATGCCTCTAGTCAGGATGTTCCAGCAGACTTACTTTTTGGTGCAACAAGGTAATTTAAATACATAGCATTTCCTTTTTCTAATAATTAATATACATTTAGGACACACATGATCAGCAGTGTTCTAGCTAGGATTTAAGGGCAGAGGGACACAGTTTTAAGATGAAGGGCATGTTAAAACAGTTTCTTGTTGGTTAAGGGACAACTTGATTATTTTAATAGATAACAAGTTTAAATGATTGTATAAATGAATGTATTTTATGCAGCTATATAGTATTTTGCTATTGTAAAAAAAAGACCATTTATAGTTAAAAAAAATTTTTTGCATTGACAAGTATTTATTTTCCTTCAGAAAAAAAGTTGCATATAGTAGGATTGTAAGAGCAAAAGGGTGTACAGAAAGGGCAAAAGGGGGGGGGGGGGGGGGGGGATGCGACCTATGTTTTGTGCTAGCTAGGACACTGAAATGATTTATGTTAGAGTGATTTAAGATTATTATGAATGATATTTTTTTTATAATAAATTCATTAGAAATAAACATTACAAGATCATGAACATTGTTAAAAATGCTAAAGTTTGTGACGTACAGTTGTTACAGAAATATGCACGTGCAAGAAAAATATATTTTTTAATGAGAAGAGTGCAACATTCTCCATAATAATTGCAGATCCCCAAAAATATTTTTGATTGGCAAAAAGATGTGCTTTTCTTAATAATTAATTATATGGGATATCATGCCTTCTGAAATGCTTGTTTTTCTTTTTGTATTATTTTGTTTTCAATTTTAAGCATAAAGGAAAATGTTACATTGAAGATAAATTTCTGTGAATAAATTACCCCAAATGTACAGAATGTAATAGAACCTTCAATAAACCATATCATCTAATGTGTACTCAGTCTGTAACTGCTAAGACTAAGAATCATACCCCCTGATGTACATATTTGAATGAAACTTTCCATATTTGATTTAGCCTTTTAACATGTAATTGTTCTAACTTTTGCAAAAATGAAAAAACCATTGTAATTAATTCTAATATGTCTTGTAATACTGTGAACAAATTTATGGAGGTCTATGCAAAGCAAAAGGAAAAGAACTCAGAAAATAATGTGTTAACAATTGATGAAAAAATATATATATATCTTTGATTGACTGAAATATTTGATTCACAGTATTTTCCATTTTTAATGTCTGCACAGTAACATGTTTCAAACTTTCAGTACTAACACAGCCAATGTGAGACCAGGGTCCCGAGATCATCAACGGACCTATAGTGACCCAAGAGAACTTTCTCCTGAAACAAAAAATGACAGGTAAATATACAATATCATCTGAATAATAGTTAAACCAAATATCTATATCATAATTTGAAATAGAATGTCTTTTGCTCCAATAACCATACCATAAGTTAACTGTTGTCTATACATTTTACTGCAGCTTTTTCAAAAGGCAATACATTGTTTCAGAAAAAAATTATTTTGCCTTTATACCCTCTTTTTTGTGCAATATAATAGGAACAATAGATATATTTTTTTTTTTTGGTCAGATTGTAAGAGTATTTCCAGGAATATGTATTGTATACTAAGATGAGGGAGGGTTATGACTAGGGACTTTATACTTTTTCTTTACATTTACACACAAACATCTATTCTATACACTTTGTTATTTTAGAATCACTCTGTCCTATCATCCATTAGGAATTTTGTAACTTTAAGTCTTTTTGTGCCAGTCTGCCTAAGAATCAGGCAGTGGTGAAAACATGACAAACAAAAACCCACTCAAGTTGACATTAACTAATGTTCAAAATGAATAATGGTGCACAAATATAACATTCGTTTCCTTTTCCTGTTCTGGTAATTCAAGATATAATTTTGTTGAAATGCACTAGAAATTAACAATTAAGGGGAGATAATTCCGTAATTTGCTATCATTCTAACCAAAAGTTATCAAGAGATTTCTTGAATTACCAGACACGCAGAAATGAAAGACGTACTATTTCTAACTCAGGATGAGGGTAACTTCAAAATAGGATGGTTAGGTTGGTGGGTTTTTTTCAGCCATATTTTGATTATTTTCAAAATTGCCTGATTCTTACAAAGACTGGCACTTAAATCATTCAATAGATTTCATTGAAACTTCACATTAGAAGTTTTTGCACTGTAAAAAAATGTGCATGAGCTAAAATTATACAAGTTAGACACGTTGAATGGGAGATAATTACATTTATATATATTGGATTCTTCGTATGTTATTGACCTGTACTTGCAAGTTCGCCAAAACATGAGATGGTTTTTAGTGAAACTTCAAATTAGGATTCTAGTACACTAAAGGAAGATGTATTTGTGTAAATTATTGTAGTTGATATCACAAGGGAGATAACTGAATTTACAGATTTGTATAATTCATCAAATAATATTGACGTTCAAAGAATAATATCTCCTTATCCCAGTGCATATATAATTTTACATAAAGATAGGTCACCATTTTGTTGACTTGCTCACAGACAGTTCCTCTAATTCATTCTGTATTCTCATATAAACAAAAACTCAATCAACCAATAGCATTTGTAATTCCTACTGAACTTTTTTGTGGAAAGTATGGAAATCTATTTAGATTAAGTTACAGTAACAGTTTAATATTCTTATTAAGCTTTATTTATAATTTATAACTTGTAGCCTAACTATAGGATATATTGTACCTAAAACTAACCAGATAAAAATCTGCGTCATAGCCAAACTATTGAATATATTGTACCTTAAACTAACCAGATAAAAATCTGCGTCATAGCCAAACTATTGAATATATTGTACCTTAAACTAACCAGATAAAAATCTGCGTCATAGCCAAACTATTAAATATATTGTACCTAAAACTAACCAGATAAAAATCTGCATCATAGCCAAACTATTGAATATATTGTACCTTAAACTAACCAGATAAAAATCTGCGTCATAGCCAAACTATTGAATATATTGTACCTTAGACTAACCAGATAAAAATCTGCGTCATAGCCAAACTATTGAATATATTGTACCTATAACTAACCAGATAAAAATCTGCATCATAGCCAAACTATTGAATATATTGTATCTAAAACTAACCAGATAAAAATCTGCATATTAATTGGTTAAAGTAGAAAGTTAACCTGTCAGATTTTGCTGTTTTACTGGGTAAAATGTATCAAAGGGCTGTAAAATATTAGAATTTATATTTTAGAAATAATTGAAATATTTAGAATATTTATATCACAGTTTCAATGTTATTTATAAGTTGATAAACTGATAGTCTACATGTATATGCATAAAGATTGTATCTGGGTTGCAAACTTGCAATTCAGTTTGCATTTAAAAGTGAAAGTTGTAGGCATGCATTTCAGAGTTTACTGTTTTTATAAATTTAAAATTAATAAACTTAACAATTGTGTTTAATAATTACTTAAACTACATTTTTCATTCCTCATTGTACAGTAAATTAACAATCACTTAATTTATAAACTAATTAAATTTACTTGCGAAATTATGTTTTTGAATTTCATTAAGATTTGATTACATTCCATCAAAATAACAGATACTTGTATGGTTGTTACTATGAAAAAGGGGATTTGGGGATATATGTCAATGTGATAAACCAAAAACAAATAAATAAAAAGAGAACAAATAAGCTTTTACATTCGACACTGGACAGGCCATCAGTAATTATACTTGTGTTATATTACTGGTGTATTATTGGTAGAAGAAAATTGGTTAACATATATATGATCTTGGTCATAAATTGATGAAAAGATCAAGCAAGTATTCCAAAGTATTGCTTTCTTCCATCACTGCATGTAATTCAATAGGCATGCATAAAGTACATTAAATATCATACATAATTATTGAAATTGATCATTAATAAATAAATATATGCAGTGCACAAAAGATATATTCAATGCCCATAGAAGAGACTGTTTCATTCATAAAACCAACGTTTTAAAATTTTCTTTACTTTTAATCTAAATGCTTTCTGTTAATTACACATTGGTACATTTTGAATCATTTACTTTATTAATGTAGTGCTACTGTCATGACTGTGGATGTTGCTACGGAAACTGAGTAAGTGACCTCAGTGTCATGGTATTAAGGGTCACTCACATCAAATATTGTGTGTTGTTAACATATACATGTATTAACTATTTGTGATAATAGAACACACAGAGCATCCTCTGCACCCCTCACATGTTTGTAATACAGATCTAACATTGGAAAATATGGAAAGATCAAATATTTTAGATTGAAAACGCTTCAACCTTACACATATTTTCATGCAATTAGTTATTATTTTATTCCAATTTTACACTGGACATTAAGCAACCAACAATCTATCAATACAATTTCAAAATGATTACAACAGTTTCATTTCTAAACAAAATTACTCATACACAACATTGAAACTCTGATACCTTTATAGGTAAACTCAGAGTTTCATTAATTGGCAATTTTGAAATCAGCAGCTATAAGTTTTCTTTTATAGTCTGAATTAAAGGTAAAAGGTCTAACCAGTTGCAAAAAATATATGTAATGTTAGAGTGTTTGCACTCATAACTTGATGTGACAATCATTTGGAATGTTTACACATAAGTTACATGTTTCCCAAAGTTGACAAGTCATTTTAAATCAGTCTAAGAGTTTATTACTCTTGTTGTTACTGTATTTTCATTCGTAAATTTCCATGTGAATATTTTAGTAAGTGAATGCATAATATACTGCATTCTCCATTAAAAGATGAAAATTTTGCTTACAGATAAAAAACTTGCAATTAGGAAGAATATTCTGATTTTAAGTTGAAAATTCTGCTTTAAAGATTAAATTTCTGCATTGAGCATGTTGAGGATGAAACTTCATAATTCTGCCTAAAAGATGAAAGTCTGAAATAAGAACTTAAAAGTGATAACATTTTTGTTTTCTACAAAGACTTAAAAAGACATCTGCATAATGTACTGCATTCTCCATTAAAGATGAAAATTCTGCTTGCATACAAAAAATTTGCAATTAGGAATAAAATTCTGATTTAAAGTGGAAAAATATGCATTTAATATGAAAATTCTGCATTAAAGATAAAAATTTCTGCATTAAGGATGGAAACTCTGCATGATTTAACATTCTGCATCAAAGATTAAAGTTCCGCATCGAAGATTAAAATTCTGCATCAAAGATTAAAATTCTGCATCAAAGATTAAAATTCTGCATTAAAGATGAAAATTCTGCCTAAAAGATCAAAGTTTGAAATAAGATCTAAAAAGTAATAACATCAACTTTATGTTTTCTACAAATTAAAGACTTAAAAAGAAAAATGTTCAATGTGAAGTCACAAAAATAGAAACATGACTCTCTATTTCAGACCTTGACCTTAAAATTTTCTGTGTATTTAAAAGAAATTAAAGATCCCAGCTTTTACATTTATAGAATATTTAATTTTGTCATACATTTATATTAAAAATAACCTATTATCATGAGTGAGCCCTAAGCTTGGTGGGAAACAAAAATACATGTTTGTGCAAGAAAATTGAAAACTACAAATGTTAAATTTAAATGCCTTACTTTAAGTTATCTGAAATTTAAATTGACTTTGGAATCATAATAGAATAATTTATACCAGAATTATCAGTGTAAATGATTTACATTTTTAATGATTTTTGTTGACATATGGACTTATTGAATAGAATATTTTATATGTGTATTTCATGTTTGTGCTTGACTTTGAGGAAAGTGTAATATACAATGTATTGTGATAAAGAAATGAACTTTATATATTGAAATGGATAACTCTCAAAATGGCTTTATAAACAGGTATTTCAATGTTATATTGTTAAATGGGAAATTTTTTGGCTGTAGTCATATTTAGGAGATAACTGTATTGTATTTTAAGCTCTGACGGCATCAATTTGTAATTTGATGGTCGCAAATTAAGTTTACTAGTGACGTGTTAGCGGAAACAGTAAACGGGTATTTGCAACCATCAAATCACAAATTGATGCCGTCGGAGCTTAAAATACAATATTGTTATCTCCATTCTAATGAAACTGACAGAAAACAACATCAAATCATACATTTCAAATCTGTCATACATGGTCTGCACTAGCGCATACGTTTTCACAGCATCAATTGTGAATTGATGCCATGAAAATTGGTGACGTTATCCAATCAAAATGAATGTTACAAACGATGTTGCATAGAATTACCGATAGTTGGTGCATAAGATGAAATTATTAAAATTTAACCTACCAAATTAAAACATTGACTAAAAAGATAAATGCAATATGTTCGATAATCATACTATAATATATTAATATGTAAAGTATGAGATTTTATTTTAGAAAAAAAATGGACAATTGCACACTAATTTATTGCCCCTCTAACTTGATTACCAGATCAATATTGATATAAAAAATGCAAAATACCCATGTCCAAATTTTGCCAACAAATGTGATCAGAAATTTAGTAGATTAATTCTTTCATCTTATTAGCATAACTGTTTTTTTTTTCTTACTAGACTCAGACAACTTATTCAGCTATCAATTCCATTATGAAAAAAAATTAATAAAAATTTTATATTGACAAAGCGCCAACATTTAACCCTTACTTTCTTTTATAAAAACCCTAAAATATATCTACTCTAAAATATCTCTCCTCTAAAATATCTCTACTCTAAAATATCTCTACTCTAAAATATCTCTACTCTAAAATATCTCTTATCTCTACTCTAAAATATCTCTCCTCTAAAATATCTCTACTCTAAAATATCTCTCCTCTAAAATATCTCTCCTCTAAAATATCTCTACTCTAAAATATCTCTCCTCTAAAATATCTCTACTCTAAAATATCTCTTATCTCTACTCTAAAATATCTCTCCTCTAAAATATCTCTACTCTAAAATATCTCTCCTCTAAAATATCTCTACTCTAAAATATCTCTCCTCTAAAATATCTCTACTCTAAAATATCTCTACTCTAAAATATCTCTCCTCTAAAATATCTCTCCTCTAAAATATCTCTACTCTAAAATATCTCTACTCTAAAATATCTCTACTCTAAAATATCTCTTATCTCTACTCTAAAATATCTCTCCTCTAAAATATCTCTACTCTAAAATATCTCTCCTCTAAAATATCTCTCCTCTAAAATATCTCTACTCTAAAATATCTCTCCTCTAAAATATCTCTCCTCTAAAATATCTCTACTCTAAAATATCTCTCCTCTAAAATATCCTGATTTACTGTAGATCATTTCTGATTTAATAAGTCAAAATCTTTTGTTATGAATATATCATTCAAATCCAAAAAAGTGTTATGATTTATGATTATTTGTTATATAAGAATTTTATTCATAATTTGTGTTTGCCTCAATGTTTGTTCAGTAAAAAAAAAGGTCTTACTAAATCAAATAAGGTCCAGTTCCTGATTTTCATTGCTTATTGTTAAATTTTTACCATTTAATTTTAAATTGTAAAGAAAAAATTCACAAACATGTTTTCTTGTAATGATATGAGGAACATTGGAAAATTCTCCAAGATTACATCCTAAGGTAGATTTATTAAACTGTTGCAAAAGATTCAATGGCACTATATCTTTATATGTATTAATATTGTGTTTACAGAGATGGACACACAAGAAGTAAATCTGAGGAGCCTAGATATGGGGAAGAGCTACCTAGAGATAGATTTTATAACTTAGAACCCGCCCTTTCTGCCACAGACAGAAGATCAGCATCGTCACCTCATGGGTAAGTATAAAGGGGAAATAAAATGAAAGAACCTTAAGTGAGTAAGCTCACATACCCCAACCAAAAATGATTTATATGAGATATTTTTACCAAAACCCCTCCTGAAAATGTAACCTCAATCATTAAGATTTTTCTGATTAAAACTCATCTGATGGTTTGGTGATCGGAAATCTCTATCCAAATTTGAAGAGGAAAGTATAAAAAATGAATGTGCTAGTATTATGACAAGAACCAATATTGTTGTTTTTTCTACCTGAAAAAATAGACAGATTTTTCTGATTATCCATTCCAACTCATCTGTGATGCTGATGAGTAAAAACATATTGATAAAAAATGAAGGGTCGAGCATGACAACAAAAAAGTAATGATGGATCGACGGACAGACAGGTCAAAAACATTAAAGCCTTTGCAGCCTTGGTGCATGGGTATATCATTAGTAATTGTAATACCTAAAACAATATAAAACAGTTAATATAAACTTGAAAAATCTAGTATTGATAATTGCATATTAACCAACATTGAAACAAACATTAAATAGTAAACAGTTTGTCAGTTTATAATTCTTACAATATCCTTTTTATATTGTAGCGACCAGAGAGAGAAAGAGAATTTAGTGGATGTCAGGAAAAAAGAAACAGTTACTACACCACCTTCAGGTTAGAAAAATCTTCTGTAATCTCGAAAGAAACGAGGAAAAAAAACTTAGACTAATAAATAATAAAAGGACACAAAACAAACAAATATTACAGAAAATGTTATAATGGAAATGTAAAAATTGAAATCAGTACATTTTAAATTGTACAGCTGAGTTAATTAAAAAAAAAAGTTAAATGTAGAAATTTTTCCAGAGTGAATTTTTTGAAATTTTTCATGCAGAATACTTAAAAATATTAGTTTCTTTACAATGCAAGAGGGTCTGGATGGGGAGTCATTCGTTTCTTAATTCTTTAATTTTTGTTGACCATTTTTCTCTATTCTTCATTTTTGCCCATTATTCTCTATTCTGTATGATTTAGCGTCCCAGTATTCTCTATTCTTTTGTCTTTATTGCTTCATTCTTTACTTTTATGCCCTTTATTTTGCACTTTTTGCCAATTATTCTCTATTCTGTAAATCCCATCCAGACCCTCATAAAAGGATTGTATGTCAAATTTATTACATTTGCAAATTCTTATAAAAATAATCTACTCCGTAAAACTTTTATAGATACATATGCAGTAACCCTACTGTAGCTTCATTAACTGAATGTGAAAACACACCCAAAACTACAACCAACAAAAAACATGATAGCTATTTGCTTCAAAGAAAAAAAACAAAAAAAGGATAGTAAGATTCCCCAAAAATATTGGACAGTACAACAAACAACTACAACACCTGACTTCTCAATAAACATTAGTACCAGGGATGGGCACGATTACTGACAAATGTAATCGATTAATAATCGATTACATGAAGGATTGTTGTGCAATCGATTAATAATCGATTACTCTGATTTTTGTATGTAAAAATGTACAAAGGACTAATTTAGTACAAACAAATGTGGTGTCATTAACCAAGTTAATGATGTTCGCTGACCTGTTTTTGACGTTTTGTCAGATATTCGGAATCCTCTAGTTTTATATATGTAGTGCCAATAAAAAATTTGCTTGTTAACCCCTACTTTTCTTTACATATTTTTTTTTACATAATGTCTAAAAGCCATTTTTTGAAAATCTTATAAAATCCTTGTTATTTTTTCAGTCTTTTTAAAAGAAAAAAGGTGCTTATTTTAAACATATGAAAAATCTAGAGAGAATCATTTCCCGCCAAATTTTCAATTGATTTTATCTCAAAAACAAGGTCACGGACCTGTCATTTTTTTCTACTTTCTTAGTTCCGTTATTTATATACTTTAAAATTTTTTAAAAAACTTGTTATTTTGAAACAGAGGAGCAAACATCTTTAAAGTGCACATAAACCTCTGCACTGGCCTATATAGACCATATGTTGTGAGGCTTAAACATGCCGTCGGGTTAAACATCTGCAGCGAGACTTGAACATATGCTGTGAGACTTAAACATGCCATGGTGTTAAACATATGCTGTTAGGCTTAAATATATACTGATTTATACTTTACAATTTAGCTCAAATTAAGACTCCTTTGTTTTATATTATGAACAATAAATGTAAAACAAAACTATACAATAAATAAATTCTTGAATGTGGATTTCAGTATTTAGACGACCTCGTTTAAAAAATTACCACAGTTTTACTAGATTCTATAGAGGAGGTATATTATGTGATTGCAGTGAATGTATAACATGCTTATGTCATTGTTGCATCATCTCTTTTTTTGGAAACATCAGCTTCATTTTCAATGCTTAATTTACAGTGTACTTGTAGATATAATGTTCTTTTGTTTTGAACAGATTTTCTAATACATTTACTAACCTAAAACTCATAAAACATCATGGCTTCTGTTGTGCATAGTCTTAATATGTTAAACATGCATTTCATAATTGATTAAAACTGGTGAATTTAAGTGTTGTATTTATCTGGAGTCACATTTATGTAGTAATTATAGTATGAACATGAAATGTATTGGTGCACCATATAGCTACGAACACAGTAGATGAAACATGATACAACAAACACCATTTTATTGCAACTTGTGTTAAGGTGGGGTCTGTATACATTTTCAAAGAAAACTGATAAATTGAGAACGTTAACAAGAGTAATGAAACGTACTGCTTATGGAATTGGAGAGGGAAGGAATTATAGGAAGAAACACAGCTTTGCCAATTTATAATTGGTATATTTCCCAACCAATTACATTTTAACAATATTACTGTGTTGTTGGTTTATATTTGGTTAATATTCAAATAGCATACACAGGAGAATTATGATCAAATTTTTTCCGGGGCCCCTTGAATGAATAAAATTGCAAAGAATTAGAATTTCACAAATATCAATCAAGTCTGAGTCTTAGTGACAATAATAAAATATTTGATTTTGTTGGATATTTTTACTTTAATATCATCAAACTTCTGAATTTAAGGAAAAATTTGTAGAAACTTCCAAAATTCCCTTAATTTTTAGATCTATACAATAACATTTAGAAATTAGCAATGGAAAAAGGTTACTTGTGCTTAGATGTGTTTGACTTAAACAAAAATGTTGGTGTTTGTGGGTGTCCTTAGGGATAATGCTATTGTCTATGTGATTTGATTGAAAACTATATTGGAAATGCCATTGGATAAGTTTTTCCAAGAATACATGTTTATGAAAATTTTATTTAAAGAAGTTAAAGAATTGAACTTTCTTAAATGAAGAAACATTGTATTTCCCTAGATATGGGGGTACAATCTATATGCAATGCATTGAATTTGACAAAACCTGTGAATAATACATGTGACATAATTTAGTTGCATGGAAGGTAATGTCACAATATGTATGGACATTATTTAAGATGTGTAAATATTTATATTCTGCGACATTTATCTTATTTCATTACTAAATATTCCCCTGATTTTACAGATTTAAGTCCAAGCTCAGTAGGACAACTGTCTGATTCAGACAACAGTTCCAGAAGAAGAGAAGCTGCTAGACTGAGACCATACAGGTTCGTATCATTATTTTACTAAATATGGATTAGTTCTGTTACTGCTAGTCCATGTTCAAAGTAATTGAATTAGTTAACTATGTGTTATTTTTTATGACTTTCACAAAATCAGTGATTCAGTAGAGAATATCAGGCATTGGTTGTAAATAATTAAATTCATTTATTTATTTACCAGTCTCAATCTATAACTAGTAACTAATTCCTTATTGCAAAAATTGTGAAGACAAAATGAAATTATGAAGAAAGATTCATTTATTTATCCTTACTTGTTTTTTTATTATGTAAAGTTAAAAAAAAACATATCTTATCTACTTGATAAATGAATAAAGATATTTGTAAGATTTAAAATAAGTTATCTATTATTACTTTAAGTATGTTTATATATATATATATATATCTATTCTCATCACCAAATACATAGGTACAGAGAAGACATGCATGTAATACAATACATTAGATACATAAACATAAATATACAATATATACAACAACAACAAAGACAAAAAGAAATTATTCAGGAGGACACACTCGCTTGTTTAAAATTCGTATAAACTTACATAAATTTATGAGATCTGTCCTATTTGTAGACGACATAATTTCAGTAAATAATATAATATTTGGCCTTATACTAAAATTTCGATTTATAAATTTTTTTCTCTCTTCTCTAAAATGTGAGCAATTAATAATGTAATGGAATTCATCTCCAATATCTAGCTTACATAAATTACACTTTCTTTTTTTTTTTTTAGAAGTTATGAATAAGTAGGCTTATAGTAAATATACTGTAATCTTCTATTATTTTGTTATTTCAACTTTTGATTCAACTCATTAAGGCTAAATATTGTAAAGTTTTATTGTAATTTATATATTTTAGGCCACATGGTAGTCGTGAGTTGTATTATACTGAAGATGGAGAAGATTCCTTAGCAGAGAGTATCACCACTGTAGAAAGTAATCATACAGGTATTACAAGAATTTATACCATAAAAAGTTTTTTTAACATTCCAATTTCTTGAAGAAATATTTAAGTCGAAAATTAAACTCATACTACTTCTGGAAGGGGGGGATGTCCTTGTAATTATTTTATACAATGATATTTTAATATTTTAAAATTGTTTATGTAAACATGTAATTCATAGTCATGTTAAAAGAAACTTTATAGTAGAGCTGTATTAGATAATTGTTATTTCTTTACAAAATAAATCTTCTTTTTAAAATTCCCAAGTGAAAGGGTTCCTAAGATAAAGCCAAGTTACAAGAACAAGTAAAATTTAACATAATTACAATAATTTCAGTGGGAGGTAATTCAACAATGGAAAGTACACACTCAGGTGAATTATTTTTGTTGTTGGGACATTTTTATTATTATTAAATGTGGTGTAGTTTTCACGATTTAGAAGCAATTTTTGTTGTACAGTTCATTGATGTAGCTGTAGATATCACCTTTTTATACTCAGAATAGCAATTGCATAATTTTGCCTTTTGTTAAAAATATTTTGCTTTTTAAAAGTTATCTGTTGATGTAAATTATTGTTACAAAATAGGATGAATAGTATAATATCATTTAAATTGTTTTATGGATGTCGGCCACAATTATCTTGGGATGTAGTTGATTCCATGCATAATACATTTGAGTTTTGGTTTTCAGCACAAAGAAGGGTTACATGGAACCCTAGCACATATTACCTAGGTAACAAACAGCTGGTGCTTTATTGCTGTATATTTGTATTTATTTAACAGTTTGTTACAATTATGGAATGATTTGAATGTTTTAGTGTATGATTTATTTTCAAATATTTTTTGTCCTCCTTTTATGAAATTTGGATTTATTCAACTACTGATACATATTTCCAGGATACTATCAATGAGTTGGTTAGAAGTTTTATAATAGTATGAGTTTCAATTTTCTTTTATATGTATGTCCAGTAAGGTCACAACATTAAGCATATTAAAAGAATGTAAATTGTGTACCAAAAATTCTTCAAAAATCTAGATCGCAAAATCAAATATTTGTAATTGAAATATGTACCTCTAGTACAGAAGTAGGAATCATTCAAATTAAATGTATAGTCCTTAAAATTGTATATTATGAATTCAAAATTTTATGGTAAATTTAATGAATTGAGAATTGATAGTTAGCTTTTAAATGCAAGCTAAGCGCATAATGGCTATATTGGAATTGTACATGTTTTATAAGGAATTAAGCATGGTATGTTTTGATTTTATATTCAGTGTATTTGTCACTGTTTAATTTTTGAATGCATACCAAAATTAATGGATCCTATGTACTTGGAATAACATTATAAAGTGAGGTTTGAGCTCAAACTAAAATTGAAATTCTGCATGTTAATTAATATGACCAATTTGCATGAGATGTGATATTGTAACATGATCAACATTGTTTTTTACTGACCAGGCTTTGAAACAGAGAGAGATATGGAAGTTTAGGCTAACATGTATATTTTTGACATGACTGAGACTAAATATATAGTTTTCTATATGACATAATTTGAGTTGAGTTATTTCCCTTGGTCACCATTTTGGAGGGGCAACTTGTGGAGTTTGTTATTTGACTAAACCAAATTAAAACATGTGATACAAAGAAGTCTGTACAGAGATATGAACTATATTACAGGGATGAATTATACAAGCCTAAACAAATTAAAATTGTTTTAAGTCTAGCTGTCAGTATATCAAGTTAAATTTGGTTGATTTATGGAGACATTTGTGTATATTACCTGCAACATGGCAGCAAAGGGAAACAACTCTTCCTCAAATTACTTCAATGGGAAACTATCTATTGTTTGATATCCATTCCTGCCTAAAAGTACTACAGATTCAAAAATTGGTGCTTAACAGGACTTTAATAATAACATATTCATCAAATAATATCTATCAGTCAGTCTTTAAAAATAATTTGAATTGTTTGCTATTATATAAAATTACTTTTGCTGTAAGTATACCATAAATCATTACCCAAAGTATATAAAGTTTATTTGTGACCATAAAGTGGTTAAATTACGACTATGTGCAATTCATGAATTACTTTTTTGGGGTTATATTTAATGATTTTCATAATTATTCAAGTGCAGTGAATTATAATCACTCGACCTGTTTTCAAATATTTAATTTTATTTATTTGATTTAAGATCACGTTCTAAAGTTGACATATACTGTTCCCATGCAATAATTCTATTGCCTTGGTAAAAATCTAAATAAAAATTCACAGTATGACAAAATTCACACATTTGCAACTTTTTTGATTTGTACTACAAAATAGTCAAAACTGAATTGTTCCCATTTACCTGAGAAATGAAATGTGAATTCAATATGATAATCTTTTATTGTTATAGGTTCTGATGACGCCACTGCTCCATCTTTCCCAGTACAATACCTAGGATCCAGGAAAGATGCCCCTCCTACTTCAGGAATTTATGGCACCAAGAATCCAGATAAAAAAGACACTTTGTCTACAATTGATGAAAAATCTTTAGCTGTAAGTCTGTTAAAACATTGCCAAATTTCATTCTGTTAATAGATGGAAATAAGAATTGTAATTAATGAATTCAGTAAAGTTCATATTCAAAGGTTGTTTTTACTGTGTGAACACTTGTATTTTACATATAAAATCTTTTATAGGAAGGTTGTTTTTACTGAGTGTGCACATGTATTTTATTTATAAAATATTTTTTTACTTGAGACAATACAAAGGAAAAAAAACAAGCTAATCTTTGTTTTTCATTCTAAATTTCACATTTTATGCCGTACTGATACAATAGTAAAAATATGTATTATCTTTCTATATTGAACTTTTTATGCCTGACTGCTACAATAGTAACAATATGTGTTTTCTTTCTAAATTTCACATTTTATGCTGTACTGATACAATAGTAACAATATGTGTTTTCTTTCTAAATTTAACTTTTTATGCTATACTGATACAATAGTAAAAATATGTGTTTTCTTTCTAAATTTCACTTTTTATGCATGACTGATACAATAGTAAAAATATGTGTTTTCTTACTAAATTTCACTTTTTATGCCTGACTGATACAATAGTAAAAATATGTGTTTTCTTTCTAAATTTCACTTTTTATGCCTGACTGATACAATAGTAAAAATATGTGTTTTCTTTCTAAATTTCACTTTTTATGCCTGACTGATACAATAGTAAAAATATGTGTTTTCTTTCTAAATTTCACATTTTATGTCTGACTGCTACAATAGTAAAATATGTGTTTTCTTTCAAAATTTAACTTTTTATGCCTGACTGATACAATAGAAAAAATATGTGTTTTCTTTCTAAATTTCACATTTTATGTCTGACTGCTACAATAGTAACAATATGTGTTTTCTTTCTAAATTGAACTTTTTATGCCTGACTGATACAATAGTAAAAATATGTGTTTTCTTTCTAAATTTCACTTTTTATGCCTGACTGATACAATAGTAAAAATATGTGTTTTCTTTCTAAATTTCACATTTTATGTCTGACTGCTACAATAGTAACAATATGTGTTTTCTTTCTAAATTTCACTTTTTATGCCTGACTGATACAATAGTAAAAATATGTGTTTTCTTTCTAAATTTCTCTTTTTATGCCTGACTGATACAATAGTAAAAATATGTGTTTTCTTTCTAAATTTCACTTTTTATGCTTTGTTGATGCAATAATAAAAATTCATGTTTTTAATTGTAGGATGACAAAGAAAGATCTGGTACTGATAGTGGAGTAGATAATCCGAGAAGTGATTTAGCCAGTTCTCATGGCAGTAACTTGTCCTCGTATAGACGTGACATGGGAAATCGAGAAGATTTTACTACCAGCAGGATACCAGGTCAATATGATGATAGGTTAACTCTCAGTACTAGGTCTGATCCAGGAGACCAGTATGCTACTCCCAAACGTTCTACCCGACATCATGAACATTCTGATCCCAGAAGTGATAGTCGTGTATATAAGGACAACTATGAAAGAGAACAGTATGAACCAAAACCAACAAAATCTAGATCTGAAACTGATTTAGCAACACTTCCAGATGTTGATCATAAATATTCCTCTCCAATGTATGGAGATCGTTTTATGGAACTGTCTAACCAACCATCTCCAATCTATTCTCACCACACATCAATGGCATCACCCGCTGTTTTAGCAAATGGTGCTAACTGGGGAAGAAATGTTGATGAAAAGCTGATGGAAGATAGGTTGAATGTCAAACCTTTGGAGAAGGGACCAAATTTTATAACCAGACAAGAGGAAAATAGTTATGATAGAATGGCTGAGTTTTCTCAGAGAGAAATTGGAGATGGTATAAACATAGATGATAAACCAGGTTCCACTCCTTATAATAAGGCTTACGATAGACCTGGGGATGATAGTTTCCCAATGAGAACTATAGCATGGAGAGAAATAGAACATGATAGATTAGAACCTGGAAGTCAAGGTCTAGAACCAGGCGGCAGAGAACCAATTAGATCTTTGGAATCTGGAAATCCAAAAATTGATGTAAACAGAGAACCAGTTGTACCTAGTGACAGGGGACAAGACTACCGATCAAGGGCAAGCTCTTCAGAATCCAGTCTTCGGGAAACAGTTAGACCTTTAGACAGAGGTCCTGATTTTACATCAGAAAGACAATCTTCTGAGGAAAATGTTAGACCTCTTGATCCAGGACCAGCAGTGTTGGACCCAGGTCCACACATAGACACAATTAATCCAGGCTACAGACAAACTGACAGAGTTATTGACTATGTGAGGGATGAAAGGCTTCTCAACAGAGGACCAGATACTGAGCCACCTAAAGAAAGAAGAACGTTAGAAAAGGGACAGAATTATTATGATATGTATAGACCACGTAAGGAACCTCCCCCTAGGACTGGTATGACTCATCACCAAGTGTTAATTGATGATGATACAGAGGAACTAGAATTTAGAGAATTACCCAGGGTAGGTTTATTACAGGCACTAAAGTCTATATTAGACAGTAATAGAATTGTCCTTAGTAATGTTCTGTTTTTTTCAGTACAGAGTTGGTTTGGGAAAATATAAATGCCTATAATTATTGTTACAAATTTATATTTAGAGAGAACAGATATTATCTAGATTAATATGACAGAGATTTTATTCTTTACATGGAAAGATTAAAATTAATTTTTCAAACAATTTACTAGAAAGTGATTCTTGATTTATGCTGCTTAGTATAAACATGAAAGTTTTCATCAAAGTTTTATACTATCCTTTGATATTTCTGCTAAATCTAATAAAGTAAGCATTATATTTACAGCGCTGTAGTACACCTTATAATGTAAGTCTTCATGTTTCAGCACAGGATTCACATTTACTACACAAGTCTTGATATCAGTCATGTGGTCATTAAATAGCATTTCACCTTGACTTGACATTGTATTGTACAATTTTATAGTTACTTTTATTATCACTGAATGTCATTTAAATGAAAATCTTTAATGAACTCACAAAAAATTAACACTTGGGGACATCTCATTCACATTGCAACAACTTTCCCAATGCAACAATCTAAGGTGTGGAAAGCACACAATGGATTCTCATAATGTCACTGGCAAATTTTTTTTATAGTTATTCACCTTACTTGAATTTATGGTCAATGATTGTGAACTGGCTCAAGTTTTAATATTAGATAATTATTGTCAGTTTGTATATGACTCATTTAACCAGATGTTGGACATGAAAGTAAAAACTTTTAATTAGTTCATAAAAGAGTGAAAGTAATAAATTGTATATTTGTTAAAGAAAATTCAATTAGTTGTTGTGTGCTAGTTTTAACAATCATGTAACAAGTTTATTTGGTTGTCAAAATTATGCATCCACCTGCATTTCTGGAACTATAGTTTTATTACAATAAATGTTTTAAACCGTACTTTTATGTTTTGATTTTATACAGAATCAAATCTTATGACATTATGTAAAATATGTATGAAAACACTCCAAATCAAATGAAAAATTAAAATCACATATTTAAAGTACCAAAATATGTGAGTTTTTGACCTTGTGTTATGTAAAATGATTTTGGTTGAAGTAATAAATAATACTTATCATTACCTTTTCAGTGTCCTGACCAAGATTTCGAAGAAATGGTGAAAGAAGAAAAGGCAAAAATTCAGATTGAATACGAATTACAAAGAAGGTAATATTACAGTTTATTTAGATAAAAAGATTGTGGACATATACCAGGACATTGTGGATATATAACAGTACATTGATTGTTAAATGTATTTAAGAGTTTATTCATATCAATATCAATAATTCTACAATTAAGAATGAATAAACTATTTTATCGCTATTTTACAAAATTTTCCTTTGATCTTACTGACTGATAATTTCCTTTCTCAGCACAGTAGAGTGATATGAAAAATTATCGCTAGAAACTAAGGGCGCACATGCTGTTGTCAGTGAAATTAACAACGTCGTCATAGTTAAATTAGTGATAAACAGATTATCATTGATCATCTGAACTCAATTGCTTTTCTCACTTTCGCCGTACCGGCTCAAGCGAGAAAATCAATCTCGTTGAGATCACCAACGATAATCTATAATTGCATATTGTTTTCAATGGAGTCAGATTGTAAACAAAGGATGCCACTGGAAATTAATCAAACAATAATAAATCTTACATACAATGAAGAAACATGAAGCTTTGTCTCATCTCAGTTTTATTCAATGTTAATTGACATGTTTATAAATGTTAACTTATTCTTATATACTAATACATAACCTGGGTTATCAAAACTGAATAAAACACTAGTGAAATATATATGCTTAGATTTCACTATTAAAGAGCTTACACTGTAAATGATTAATTTTGTGAGAAAAATTGTGTATCTAAAAATAAGGAGATGTTTTATGATTGGCAATGAGACAACTATCTACCAAGGTCCAAATGACATAGATGCAAGTAACTATATGTCATCATGCAGTCTTCAACAATGAACAAAACCCATACTGCATAATCGGCTATCAAAGGTCCTGACATGAAAAAATATAAAACAATTCAAATGTACATATGGTTCTGATTGCTGTTATGTTTCATCGTTATCTCCTTACAGATTGAAACAGAAAGGATATTTACAGAATTCCACTGATGAGAAAGAATTTGGTGCTGAGTATGATCATGTGCCGCCCAATGAAAGGGCAAAGTCACTGCAAAGAAAACTTGAACAGGAATCACACAGAGAACTTGCTCCAAATATTAACGATTTATGGCTAAAATTTCAGGAAATGAACCAGAATGAAAGTACAAGCACTATAAATTCATCAAGAATGGAAGCCATCACTGATCTATTGAAAAATCCAACGAAACATATAGTGCAAAAAATTACTGATGAAAGAACTTATGAAAAAGCTAAAGAACGTAGAATTATGCAAGAATTGGCAGAAAAGTCTCGTCAAGAACAAAGGAAAGACTCAAGAAGTGAAAGAAAAAGACAGGAACTACAGAATTTACGAAGATTAAGTGAGGAAGAAAGTAATGGAAGTTATGCAGACATTCTACAAGAGCAACAGAAGAAAAAACTACATGGAAAACATAAGAAAGAAAGCAGCAAACCTGATTCAAGTGTTGAAGGAAAACAGAAAAAAGAAATGGAAAATAAAATGAAAGGTTCTAAGAAGGCAAAGGTTGATATCCCAGTTCATGGTGACAGTATTGACACCTTGTATTCCATAGCAGAGGATGCAAGTTTCGAGGCTACTCCAATAAAAGCTGAGGATTCAAATCAAGGAAAGTCTAAAAAATCTCGACAAAGACATGTGATTGATCCACTCATGAATAAACTCAAGGACAAAATTGAAAGTCAAAGGATAAAAATTGACAAAGAAAGAAGAAAAGAAATTAAAAGACTTGACAAATTGAAAAAACTTGAAATGCTGCTTACTGCTAAAAAGAAAGGAAAATTATCTGATCAGGCTATTGATGTTGAGTTACATTACGTCTCTACGACATCGGCAGCAGCTAGTTCAGAGTCATCTACTTTATTTGGAAGTGAAACTACTATTAGTGTGGAATCATTAGATAACAACAAGGATTCATTTGACTCTGTGGCTAATACTGGTGATACTACATCAACTAAGGATAGCAGCATTGAAATTCAAAAAGTCAGAACGAAAAAGGCTAAGCATGGTGGAATGTTAGATGCCTATATGGCTTCCATTGGACAGGGAGGAAAAGGAGATGAATCTGAAGCTTCCACTGAAGATTTACAAGTTGTTCGAAAAATTAGAAGTCCAAAACCGGGGAAATCAGAGAAAAAGAAAACAAAGGACAAGCAAAATCAAATGAAAACTGACTTTGTAGACACAGAAACACTAAGGAGAGAAAGATCGCAATCTCCAAAATCAAGAAAGTTGAAAGATGCTTCTACTAATGTGCCATCCCCAATAGTAAAAAGTCCTGTAAGTAAGAGGAAAGTTCGAGATGTTTATGTAAGATCAGAAGCAGTACAGACAAGTCCATGTAGGTCATGGTCACCACCTAGGGAGGATCAGGGCGTCATATCTGTCCCATTAATGTCATCATCTTTCAAACGCAGTGTCAAAACTTTCGATTCAGGGCAGCAGAGACAAAGATCATATTCTCCCATTGATTCCTTTTCTTCTACTTCTCCTGACAGAACATTAACAAGTAGGTCTATATCACCACCTCAACGCCAAAAAACAGCAGGACCTGGACGTAAGACAAAAAGATCTAAGTCACCGCCAAAACATCGCGTCTTCCTTCCAGAATCTGATGAAGAGACAAAAGAAATGAAAGTGTCACCTCCACCTAAATCTCGAATGTTTACACCAGAAACTCCAGATGATGATTTAGCAGGAAAACTCCAAGACAGTCCAAATGGTAAGATATCATTTGATAATTTTTTTTTTAGAGATTCATGGAGTGAAGTGTTTTGCTTCTAATTTCTTGCTGCAATGTGTGTGTTTGTCTGTTCTTATTTTTACTCTTTCATAATGAATTACTCTGGCACACAAGTGTTTCCTTGACCCATGTGACAAAAATCAGTGTTAGAAAATATTGAAAATTTCAAGTACATTTATTCTGTCTTTAAAGTTAAATTGTTTTATAGACAATAAAGTCACAATTAATTTGTAAAATTTAAATATGTAAGAATAATTATCGACAATTTTATCTTGGATACACTCAAAGTGATATTTTAAAATTAAATTTATTAAAAAAATGTATTTATGTTAATTTTTAGAAGTTTTTTCTTTTTGAAAAAGTCTTTGAGACAAGTTAAAAATCTACAATATGTTTTTATTGTTTGATAGGTGTAAATGCCCTATGAAAATTTAAAAAAAAAAAAGAATTTCAAAAGTGTGCTTTTCTTTCATTGTCTTGATTTTTACTTTTTGATGTGCTATAGATAAAAAACAAAGGTTGAAAAGGAAAGGATTTCGTACGGGTAAGACACAAACAGGTGTAGGTTTTAGTTTAAAATGATCAAGAAATCTTTAAATTTAAAAGATAATTATATTATCAATGTATTAAATTGGATTCCTGGTAGGTTCACTTTACACTTCATTGTTGGATTTACATCCACAAACTTACAGCATCTAGTAATTTTTATAATTTTTGTAAATTGCTTAAATTTGACATTTTAAAAAAAATATGAGAATCTTGATCATTTTCCAATTAAAAGACAGTTTAGAGGCATGATTATTTATTCATTTATTTTATTTCTTCTTTTCTATTCTTTATAAGTTATATAATCTTTAGTTTAGTTTCAGCCATGTTTATATATATATTTTGTTATGTATTACCCAGGTGTGGCTTTATCCATGGGAAAGTTTATTTGTAAAATCACAATAAGTTTATATCATCTCCAAACAGTTGAATGTTAGCTTAATGCTTGTCGATACCTGTCGATACCTTGACAGTGACACCATCCAAAGCTGTACAGCTGAAGAGATTTATATTAGACCCATAAATTTGAACAGGCATTACTACAACTGCTGGTGCTTTAAAATGAATAATGATGAAGGAACTTTCATGTACGGTCACTAAAATATACCTTACATTGTTTATGCAATTACATTGTATTTGAGATTTTTTTTATAACATTTAAAACATTCATATGAAATAACTATTAATATGAAGTGATGACCTCCAGCAGGTTATTATTGTATGTTTGTTTTATTTATAGTCATACTATTTGAAGATTAACAAATTTGCGGTAAATTGTTTATACTCCTTTATGATGATTTTAAATCCTGAAAAGGAAAGAAAACAGGAAAGAGTTTTATCGCCTGCCAAATTATTGAAGGTCTTTCAACGCATACGTGATGTTACCAAAATCAACCCTTGTACCATTTATGCTCCCTTTGGTGGGAAATTAATTTAAAGTTAATAATAGGAAGAAGACAGATTATTTACTTTTATATTAAATTGGACTCTGAAAAAAGTTCATTGAATATGTATATCACATACTGTCCCAATCCTTGCATGTAACAAACCTTCAACATTTATATCTGTCATAAACCTTTCCATTATATTAGAGAAGAAATCTGCCCTTGTAACACTTCTTATTAGTTACTAATCTATTTGTCATGTGTAGGCAGTAGAATTTCCAAATCAGCAACAGAATATATATCTTTTTTTTTCGCCTGACAGTTGGGAAAGAAAATTCAGAATATAATAGATTTTGCTTAATTATATCAATTATATGAAATTTAGGTATATTTATGTAAATATAATATTAACTGAAAATTTTCCAGCAACATCTTTTTCAAATAATTTGAAAGATTTCTTTTATATTATAACTTGTGTCTATACAGTGATATACACTGGTGAAGTGGATGTGATTGTTGGTTTTCAATATAAACATGATAACCTTTATATATCCCAAAGTGTGATCAATTAAGGCTTCTAAAAATTGTACAAAAAATGAAGGTGTGAGAAATTTTTGAAAAAAAAAAATATTTTCAAAGATCCAAATACACGAATGTTTAAAGAGACCTGGCAGGATTAGAATCATAGTGAATAAAGTTAGAATGTAAAATTATGTACATGTACTTTAATAGAGTTTGGTATTTTTAGGTGGTCTTACTTGGTTTGTTCCAATGGGCCAGACCAAACCATGGAGAAAACCATTGAAAGAAAGACAGGCTTTTGCTGTTAGTCAAGAACCATGGCAACCAAAGTCTGTTTCATCTACTGCATGGAAGGATATTGTTGCTGATAACCCAGTCAATAAATCTATAGGGGAGAGTTCTAAATTTGACCTTGACACAACAGGTCATTATAAAGAGCTGGACGAGGAAAGGTCTGATGAAGAGAACTTTGACCCTAAACCTTTGTCAAGATTAACTCTACAGGTGAGTTACAGTGTGGTCGCAATTTATTTCTATTTCAATCCAAGTCATTCTCAAATGACAACACATCATTGCAAAATTTCACAAAATATGCCTGAAAAATGGTGGTGGTATGGTTACAATTTCCCTAACATAGAAATAATCAGCATTATAATGAAAATTGACCGTTTTATTAAAATGAAATTTATCTAGCCTTATTTCTGGGTTCAAGACTACAAGTACTGGTGACGTTTTGATATGATAGTTGTTAGTTCTGGTTTACCTCTGTCGATTGTCCCTGTTTTTCTCAGGATCTACAAATCAGAGCTTCCTGAAATTTGGTGTCAAGTTTCAAATGAGCATGCTTTTTCATGTGCTGTGTTTGATAAAATTGAGAATGGAAATGGGGAATATGTCAAAGAGACAACAACCTGACCAAAGAGCAGAAAACAGCCATAGGCCACCAATGGGTCTTTAACATAGCGAGAAAATCCCGCACCCGGAGGCGGGCTTCAGCTGGCCCCGAAATAAAAATGTGTACTCGTTCAGTGAAAATGGACGTCATACTAAACTCCAAAACATATAAATGAACTAAAATTAAAAAACATACAAGACTAACAAAGGCCAGAGGCTCCTGACTTGGGACAGGTGCAAAAATGTGGCGGGGTTTAATATGTTTTGTGAGATCTCAATCCTCCCCCTATACCTCTAGCCAATGTAGAATAAACAAACACACATCAATACGCACAGTAAAACTCAGTTTAAAAGAAGTCCCAGTCTGATGTCAGAATAGGTAACAAAAGAAACTAAGCAAAATGACAATGGTACATAAATTAACAAAGGACTACTAGCAGTTACTGACATGCCAGCTCCAGACTTCAATTAGACTGATTGAAAGATTATGTCTTCATCATATGAAAATCAAGCATAATCCCTCCCGTTAGGGGTTTAGTATCATACCATCATAAAATATATGAGAAGAACATAACCCGTATCATGCCAACCACTGGCATTTTAAACATCTATTGCTTATCAACTTGTTGTTTTAATAGAACCAATACTTATATATTTTCAAGCAAAATAGCAATGAATGAATTTTTTTGTAGCATTTTCTCACAAAATACAAATCTGAGCTTCCCGAAATTTGTAATAAAGCTTCATTTGAGCATGCTATACTGTGAGATGGGTTTTCACATCCATTGCTCATCAACTCCATGTTTACCAAATGCTATTATGGGGTGTTGTGAGTTAGGAATAGTTCACAGTACATCTTGTTTTATTTCTGGTCTCCATTCAGTATTTCTTTTAATTTTCAGGAAGCATTCCAAACATACAAACAAGATGCCATTTCTAAGTTAAGGGCCAGACAAAAAAGAGTTGCATTAGCTTCAAAGGAAAGAACATTACAGGATATGCTAGAAAAAGAAAGAAATAGATTGTTTGCAGAAGAAAAGAGAAGGAAAGAGGCAAATCCAGAGGCACATCCATTAAGTGGTATGATTATAGAGACAATTTGTTGACATAATGTGGATTCTAATTATTTATTAAATCATAAAAGGGCGATTTCAGAAAAAAAAGAAATGGTTGTATGGAGGGGGTAGGGACACTTAAAGTGACTAAAGAATTGGTATAAGGTTTAGTGGAGGATATAATTACTTGAAAAGAAAAATGCCCTTGGTTCTTATTAAATACAATAGAGTAAATTGATTGAGTGCTGTTTGCTTAATGCCAAGTGGAAAATATTTCATGAATATTTATAATATTTAGAATAAAGGTTAATAACAACATTCAATGATAATGATTGATTTTATGTTAATTTTGCAGAAAACCTTCATAAACCCAAAAGACGGGCAATCTCAAAAGGTGAAATGATAGAACAAACTCAAAAGTAAGTATTGAAGATGAAAGAATAAACTTTTCACATATTATATGCCCTCGAAAGTCAGTGGCTTAGTCATTTAGTGTTACTTTGGCCATCAGTCTTTTCTTCAATTATTTTCCTACCAAACTCCAATAGTTGTTTGACTTTCCTTTGTGATGCTTGTAGATTTTGAGCTGATTAGTCAACTACATATAATGACAAACACTCTTTGTATGAAAGCTTAGGACATGTGCTCGCAGAGGAGAAGTGTTAACAAGGTGTTATTATGTCACAAGGATATAGTTAAAATACAAAAAAGTTTCTCTTAACAAAGGACAGTTAAGTGCTGAAATTTGTTTTGGATCTTTGCATACAAATCAGTGTTCCAGCTAGGTCGTTTTCACAGGGCGGTCCGCCCGCCCTTTCCCGAGTGCCGCCCTGTGCCCTTTTTACAGTTTGCAGGGCGCCCTGCCTTTTTTGAAGATCGATTGGTATATTATTTTGTTCGTATTGATATGATCAGCCAATTACGAAAATTTACCTGGCGACAAGTATATATATGACTTTGTTTACGACCCCAAGCTAATCAACGGTTACAACAGGTGTCATTATCTGTTGTTATAGGTAATCCGTTTATCGGATGGGTCATTTAATGATCATCAACATTAATTCATTCAAATAGAATCGGTCAGTCGGCATTTGTCTTTGAACTTGAAGAAATGTTCATACAACTTGGGCACAATTAGCAATGTTTACCGTAGTTTTATGGAGAAAACGTAATTGACAGAAAGTCGAAAACCATAATCAACTCGTTAAAAACATTGTTCTTATTGTTTTCCGTGAAATAAATAGCAAATTAAGACGTATTTTTCATTGACTTCCTTCATTTTTTATACGAAAATAACAAAATCGGCCGCCATATTGTTGATCGTATTTACATCTTCTACGTACTGTTTATTATCCTCCAAAGAAGGAGCACACCCAAATAAAGATAACTCAATCTTATTTTTTCCTAGCATTGAGTAACCTACTAAGATATTATAAAATATGTCTTCATTCTTCTGGCTTTAGAATTTATATGTTTAGGTGTTTTGAGTTATGGGAAAATTTAAAGAGGGTCTTAGTAGCAGGGTTGGTAGGGTGCCTTGGTCATCTTTTTCTGTATTTTTTATTTTCAATCCAAATTTTCACTGTTCACTATATCCTAACATTGTGCATTTTATACAGCTGTTTTGTGCTGTATTGCCATTAAGCACAGAAAAGGTAGAAAGGTGAAACTTGTAAAGTGTGTCAGACCATAGAAACAGAATAAAGCAGGACATTTTTAAAAAAATACTGCATATAAAGCTTAACTGTGCCAAGCAATGATTTAAAACTTGTGTGACAAGCTGCTTGATAAGTTTTCAGCCTAAAAAGTAGAAAGATAGTTTTTCTCTGGGCTAATGATGTTGTTCTTGTATATATATAACCAGTGATTCAATGAACAAACAATGTTTGATTATAATCTTTATTAAAACATGCCCTTTTCATATTATCATATCACAAGTTAAATGCCCTTTTTCAGGATTGGCACCCTGCCCTTTTGAAATCCTAGCTGGAACACTGCAAATATACCATTACAACAGTCATTTTATAATAGAAATTTAACTGATTTTAGAGAAAAATAGTGCAGTGAAAAAGCAGATAAATATTTACTTAAATGTCAGTGTTACTGAATATTTCAACAAAAATATGAGGATTATGTTTCCTGCCATAAGGTGATGAGCACATTAAGTTTTACATATTCCATCCATTTGTCATCAAATTTGTTTCCATTTCATAACATGCCAGAGCTTTAGATAAGCTGCGTATTTGCGTGATCACGCATTAAAAATAATTGAAAACCCAATGCAAGTGCCCATTGCAGCGTTCTAAAACCCAATTCATGCAAAGGAAAACCCAATAATTTGTCAAAACCATGAGTTCTTAACGCTTTTAGTCGCTATCGTGTGCGCTGTTTACCCTTATCTATTACATAGTCGTCGCGTAAATCTATTTTTGTAATATTGGAAATCGGAAATGTCCTTTCGTTCTAAAGATAGAGCGTTGAAAGGGTCCCTGTTGAAATTTTCCGTTGCTTAAAGCATGGAAGTAATATTTAAAAGGAATAACAACGTCGTCACTTCAAAGGTTTCATCTGCGTTACCGCCCATCTTTCGATAACTCGTTAATTGGTTTAATATCTGGCATGGAAATTGATTCTCCGCATGTGATCGATCAAATCACTGACACTTTTTGGTCATTTTCGTGTTCACGGAAAACTACGAACAGACAAGTTTTTGTCGTATATACGTGCGAAGTAACCCGAATAGTCCATTCGTTACATTCCATTGATGTACGCTGCCGAATATAGTCATTCGTTCAATTTTTATTTTAGTCCAATTTTCCTATTTCTGGTTAGTTCGATCTTAATAGTACCGACAGCTATCACATATGAAATTGGAGAACAAGGCTTGGTCATTTTCAATTTTAATATTTACAGACAGTTAAAAAGCCATTTCCGTAAGTTTAGAAGATGATTGTACAAAAAATACGTTTGGACCCCCTTTTATTAAATACGAATAATCAAAGTCTTTTGTGTATAAGTCAGTTAAAATATTCACAATTCTAAACGGTTCTATCCTTTAATTTATAGTTCTTGATACATAAACTAATACGTGTAAAAATGAATTTGCCATAAGACAGATATCGTCAAGCTCATTTTGTCGGTTTGTTTTAATCTTTGCTGTAGCTTGTTATATTAATACAAGTATTCCACAATAAACACTTTTTAAAAAAATATATGTTTACGAACATATTATCCCTATTTTAGCTGTCCACTTTCAATAATGTAATCAATGACATTTATGACATATACATAAATATAGAATACTTCTCGATAAACTTTGCACATTTCAACAGTAAAAAAATCTATGTCTAGATTTGTCTACATTATTTTGTTAAACATCATGTGAAACCTGATCAAATCATCGGTATTTAACTGTTTTACTCGGGATCCGCTTTAAACCGGAAAATACTTTTAGAACAGTTTTAAAAAAACGGTAAAAAGCAAAAATATGCTAAATGAAATACAATTTTCCATGCTAAACTGTTGTAGGTTGAACAATTCTCGTCCGTTTTTCAAGTTTTTTACATCATACGACTTCTTTCTGAAGGTAGAGGTTTTATATGATACAGCGCTACCTTCTTATTAATAAACCTCGGATTTCACACAGGTGCTTTATAATTACTGGACTCGATAAAAACACGTGAGTGATAAGAAATTCCAGATGCCATTTTACAACCGCGGTATCACAGATAGTAACCAAAGGGGTCTTGCCGCTGAGACTATAATTGGATAAAATCATATGACTTTAGTACAGAGCTCTGCAGGCTGTTAATACATGCTAATTAGTCGTTGTTATTCTTTTTAAATATTACTTCTATGCTTAAAGGTACACGTGGTGATGAAAACATTTCGATCTTCTCTGTCTTTATCCAATTAGCGTTAGTCATGTCATCATAATTCTTTTCGTATTGCTCGGGATTTAACATTACACTTAGCAATGAATTAAAACGAAAGTAGATTTCCGGTAAAAATATTGAATAGAAGCATGCTTTTAGCTTCTTTTTGAGAGCTGAAGAATTCTGGTGAAAACAAGACCCAGCTAGTGTTATCACAATGGCGTGTTTGCGTGCCTTAACGAGAACAGGGTTAGAACTCGTCAGAACTAAATCAGTTGGAACATGAAAGGCCAAATCACTTATATGAAGTCAGCATTGGAAACCAAAAGTTCTAATAAGGGACAAGTAAACCCAGATTTATGTAAATGAAATTAAACAAAAAATTGCTTATTTTTAGTTTAAGTGTATACATAATATATAATTCATTTTAGTTGATGAGTGAACACACATATTAGTTTTAATGTAAATGTAGCTTGCCACTTTCTTTGTTTTTGGTCTATTGTTCTGTATGCCTAAGATACATGTAGTTGTCTTATTGGCAAGTGCAGTACACCATTGTCATTTATTTATTTGATGTTGCAGGATTATTTGTAAATTGAATGTGGTCTCAGTCATTAAACCACCCTATAAACCTGGTCAAGGATCTTAAATCTGGGAGCTACTTATTTTTTTTTTAAGTAGGTCTGGAAAACAGGTGATAGGGACTGGCAACACTATCTTACATCACTTAATGTTCACAAATATTACATAAAAATCTGAAAACTATTAGCCACACCTACCCTAAATAAACTGAATGGTGATCATATGTGCTCTAGAACGGTAATTAGGTACTGTCCTATTAGTGCCACCAGTAAATATAAGTTATGGAAAATACAAAACTCTGTGTTGAAACCGGACACAGATTAAACATACAATTGCTCGTCAGTGTATAAACCAAATAAAATAGCTATCACATTTAAAAGAAACATATTTTATTAATAAGATGGATGAACATCTCTGTTTGATAGAATGTGATTATAACATGCCTAAATTCAATATTGTGTTGATGAAAAAACCCAATACGTTAAGGAGCTTGGTGGTGAAAAACCCAATTTGATATTTGCTTGAGGGGTGAATTGGAATTAATAATGCAATTGAAAAACTATTTCACTCAATTAAATAAAAAATGGTGGGTAAAAACCCCAATTTGTGAACTCTTATCTGGAGCTCTGACATGCATAAGCCTTGACAAAATCATTTGAAATCTGGAAATGTTGTCCGGGACAACTGAACACATGTGGAATAAGATTGATTTTCACATTATAAATTCTTGAGTTATGGCAATTGATACTGTGGAAAAAAACAAGATGTGAGAATTTCAGAAATTTATTTGAAATTATAAAACAATGTTGAAAAAACAATAAACACAGGTCAGATTATAATTTGACACATTTTATATTTATTTTGACCTGCATCCCCAAGCAGTCCTAATAACTGGTAAACTCCTTTTGCCCTCTGTCCATACATTCATTTGTCCAAAATACATTGGGTAGAATTGTCTTGGCTTCTATGAAAGAGAATGATTCTATATTTGGTCTGCAGCTTAATAATGTTGAGTTGTAGCTTGTAAGCAATTTTTACATCTGCCTTCTATTCACTTTCTGTTTTCCAATAGTTTGAAATTTTACAATGCTCATTGTACAAGGAACATAAGCGTCTAAGATTTCTAGGCTTCAATGAAAGGGAATGATCAGTTATGCTTCAGTAAACATGTTACCTCAATCAATTGCATGTCAAGACCTGTAGTAATTCAGTAAATACTTATAACTTACACAAAATCATTAATTATGATACAATTTTTCAAAACATTATAGAATTTTGAATTTGTAAATTTTTTTTGTTTAAATTTTTTACAAAGGCAGGGTTTTATTAACTATTATGGGCAGGGACATCCATGTTGTCTATGTGCACTTTTTGGGTTGTTTTCCTGTGTAATATGTACTGTTTATTATTTTTAGGCTTTATAAAAAGCTGCCAGAAGTGCAAAATCTAAAGCTCCAGGAGAAAAGAATGGAAGATTATTCATTAAACAGACTGAGAGCCAAAGTTTTTAATAGGGTAATTATAAGTTATTTCATGGTTTATTTAGTTTATTAAATTGCAAAGTTGTTTCATGATTTACATCAAAGAAATACTTTTTCAAATTCAGAACTTTAGGAAATGTGATATGTTCATGTTTGTGAAATATCTTATTTGCCCTATACAAAGCATTTTATTACCATATTACAAAGCATATTATTTACTCTTTAAACAAGTACTTTTAGTTTAATTTAAAGTTAGTGATTCAGTCAGTTTAAGAGGTAAGTCAATGATATTTGGTATGCAGTTATATTAGCATTGTTACTTATCAATAGACCTTTTTCATATTACCGACTTTTGACTCTGGAGTTTATATTTTTTCGACAGGTTACCTACTCTGTGGTAAGACATCCTGGTACACGGTCAAGTAAGAGCAACGTAAAAAAAGAAAAATCAAGCTTTTAATCGATACAATTTATGGGGAAAATTAACTGCTTCATATTTTCTTAACATGATAAAATCATCAGAAAACAGAAAACTTTCCCCTCAAATTGCACCGATTATGTGTTTGATTTTTCTTCTTTTGGTTTCTCTTACTTGACCGAGTACCAGGATGTCTAACCACAGAAAAGGTAACTTGTCGAAAAATTATATTATCCGGAGTCAAAAGTCGGTAATATGAAAATAGTCTATTGCATGAAGATTATTTACCAATTCAGTCATGGTCCATTGACATTGAAACTTTACATAGTTTACATGTAAAAGTATGTGATGATGTCGTTTTAATGTTTACAACTAATGGCAAGTCTATGATGTGGTTTAAGCATTTAATCATCATATCTCCGTGTCAACAGTTTTAAAAATGTGAATTTGAAATTTAAAAAGGGTTTCTTTTCTGAAACATTGTAGTTGACCTTCTTTACATAACATTAGTGCAAGTAATTTGTAATTAACTTTTTGTCATTTCAGAGAATACAAAGAGATACTCTCAAGAAATGTGAAAACAGAGGAAAGCGTTCTCCTTCTAAAAATATCCACTAGTAGTGCTATTCATTTAATTTATTTGACAGTATTACGTACTAGACTGTGATATAACTGTAGATCTGACAGGATTTATTGTATAAGTAGATCTGAGAAGATTAATTGCATATGTAGATCATTCAAACTTGAAAGAAAGTATAATCTTATAATATTGTTGTATCACTGCAAAACACATGTTTATGTATGCTTCAGTTTCATTTTGAGAATACTCATACAAATTTCTACCTTTTTGATCTTTTCACATATATAAGGCTGTGTGGAATATCATCTTCCAAGTCATAGTGTGCCAAAATTTTAATGATCACTGTTAAATTATCACTAAGTGTTTATTACAAATATTTATTATTTTCTCTGATTTAAGTTAGTGTAAATGGTATGCTAGGTTGTCAATGTTTGGTAGGTTTTGTTAATTCTCTAGAATTGTTTTGTATAAAATCTTAACCTAATTTTAACCAAATTTTAACTTGTTTGTTTGTTTTACATTAATTTAACTGCATTTATGGATAATTGGAAAGTTTACACACATTATACTATTTTTAGAAAAAGTTTAAACTAAAGTAACAGAATAATTTTGATGGAAACTTATGTTTTAGCTTATTTGAAAAGTAGTATTTGCTATTTGCATATCTTTAGGTTTTTTGTATTAAAATTAATTGTAGTAAGGATGTAACGGTGAAATTTAATAGGTAACAAAGAATTTATAGTATTTTGAGAATTTCTTGCCACCATAATTGTACAATATATTTATGCTGGCTGTAAGGCTTTAGATGGCATTTATATTTTGTAATAAAATATGTATACTTGGATTTGAATGTCTTATTATTCTTTGTAGGAATTAGGACAGTTCATAAATATCTACCATATAACGTTTTTCTTTTCAACCTATGACATCTAATTGGCACAATTCCATAAAGTTAATTATTATGAGCCTGCCTGGCCCTTTGGGCATGTGTGAGCTTTACTCATCACTGTGTGTCCATCTTCAGTCATCTTCTGTCATTGTTGTTTGTTAATTTTTACAAAAATCTTCTCCTTTAGCCATATCATTTGGGTATGTAGTTTAAAAAATATTTCCAATTTTTATGCGCCGTACAAATTTTAATGTGTTCTTAGTTTCCTGATCTAACCAACCAACGACCTACAAGATATCCAAGTCATCAGTCATTCAGTGAAATTATTTGCAGACGATGACCTCCTATCTAGGCAAAGAAACAGCACAGCTAATACAAAAATCAACTATAAAAAAACACCTTACACCTGCAGGGAAGAGGGTTTGATACATTGACAGGAGAAAGGAGAAAAGGGGTAGAAAAGGGAGACAAAAATGTATATAAAAAATAAAAGTTAGCCAGAAAACAATTATTTTATAGAAACTGATCCAATATCCACCCATTTAGGTGTGAATCATATCTCTGGCCTTACATTGATATTGTGCTGTGTACGCAATGTTTCAGGGTTTTTTCGGAATGGTGTTTATTCCCGGCAAACCTTCATCAGAGACCATCCCTTTTGTTTTTCTTTTTCATTTAATTATTTTTTATTACTGTTTTAATTTTTTAATATTTTATTACAGTTTTAATTTCAAATTAGTTTTTTAATTGTTTTTTTTTTTTATCAATTATAATTTTTGAATTTGTTAACTTGAATTTTGATTTTTTGTTTTTCAAACTATTTCAACCTATTTCCATAAATGTTGAATAAAGTGTTTCATGGTAAGAAAGTTTTGTCATAAGAATATCAGCCTGTCCCCAGTCAGGAGCCTGTAGTTCAGTGGCTTTCGTGAAGGGGCGGACAAGGTGTATCTTTCTCCTTTCTATTGTCTCCCACCCTCAAACATGAAAAACTTATGTATAGGAAGCTCATTTTTATAGAAATCGATCAAATGTCTTGGTTTTTTGATGGCTCATCCCTGTCTTGTCCTTTCACAAGATAGAAGTGTTGTTTCTTCTGCTTCAAGAACCTGTTCAAAGTCATAAAATATAAAATAATATGTATAAACCTCACAGTCCTGCACAGTTAAATATTTAGTAGGAACTGTGAGGTTTATACATATTATTTTATAGCTCTTTGCACTAATTCACAGTTTCTATTTCTTTTGAATCCTATTGATAGGTTTTTATGGAATTTGGCACCTATTGTAGAATCTGTTTTAATAATATGCCGGTATTTCCTGAATACTTTTTGAAGTTTTTCTGCTTGAGGATGATAATTTGTAATGAATGATACATTACATCTATTTTCACCTTTGTTCTTTTTTTTTAATTTATCTTGTCTGTCTTGGAATTTGATTTTTGATAGAATTTGTTTAACAAATTCAATGCAAGCAGACAGCTTAACAGTCAGTGAAAAAGTTATAGAGGTTCTTGAAGCAGAAGAAACAACACTTCTATCTTGTGAAAGGACAAGACAGAGATGAGCCAGCAAAAAACCAAGACATTTGATTGATTTCTATTAAAATGAGCTTCCTATACATAAGTTTTTCATGTTTGAGGGCGGGAGACAATAGAAAGGAGAAAGGAGAAAGATACACCTTGTTCGCCCCTTCACAACAGCCACTGAACTACAGGCTCCTGACTGGGGACAGGCACATAAAGCATGAGGTAGAGTTAAACATGTTTGAAGGCGCCAACCATCCCTCTAATGTGTGACAGTGGTGTAACAGAACAAGATAAGAACAAACTTTAAAAATCAGTTGAAAAGGGCTTAACTCATCAGATCGATACAAGGCAGAAAATCATCCAACAAAAACAAAGACTGGACGTGGCAGAGTATTTATTCATCCCTCACAACAAAAAAGACACAAAATAAAGATCTGAGAGTATACTCAGTTACTGACAGTTAGTTCAAAGCCAATAACAACTAATAAAAAAAGCTTGTTTAAATTAATTCATTGTTTAATAGACATGTAGCTTAAAACTTAAGTAGTGACCCATTATTATTATAAAATAGTAGTATGCGTGGACAGTGCAATTGTGCCCTTGCCTGTTAACACTGAGGTTGTGAGTTCGAATCCTGTGCGTGGCAGGTGCGCTCGACTTAATTGACTAGGATTGTCAGTTTTCCTACCGAAGGTCGGTGGTTCTCTCCGGCCTCCTCCACCAATAACAAGAGGCTCTCAAGAGCCTGTTTCGCTCACCTGCATTTCAGAGGAGAAGATTTTTAAATGTTAGCAAACTTGAACAAATTGTGTAAAATTGTCTTTAAAGGGCAATAACTCCTTAAGGGGTCAATTGACAATTTTGGTCATATTTACTTTTTTGTAGATCTTACTTTGCTGAACATTATTGCTGCTTACAGTTTATATATATCTATAATAATATTCAAAATAATAACAAAAAACTGCTAAATTTTGTTAAAACTACCAATTTGGTGGCAGCAACCCAACAATGGGTTGTTCGATTCGTCTGAAAATTTCAGAGCTTATAGATCTTGACCAACTGAACAATTTTACCTCATGTCACATTTGCTCTAAAAGATTTAGTTTTTGAGATATAAGCCAAAAACTGCATTTGACCCTTATGTTCTATTTTTAGCCATGGCGGCCATGTTTGTCAATGGATACAAACTTCGGATACAATTTATAAACAAGATACCCTAAGGAACATTTAATTAAAAGTTGAGGGTAATTGGCCCAGTAGTTTCAGAGGAGAAGATTTTTAAATGTTAGCAAACTTGATGAACAAATTGTGTAAAATTGTCTTTAAAGGGCAATAACTCCTTAAGGGGTCAATTGACAATTATGGTCATTTAACTTTTTTGTAGATCTTACTTTGCTGAACATTATTGCTGCTTACAGTTTATATATATCTATAATAATATTCAAAATAATAACAAAAAACTGCAAAATTTTGTTAAAACTACCAATTCGGTGGCAGCAACCCAACAATGGGTTGTTTGATTCGTCTGAAAATTTCAGAGCTGATAGATCTTGACCAACTGAACAATTTTTACCCCATGTCACATTTGCTCTAAAAGCTTTAGTTTTTGAGATATAAGCCAAAAACTGCATTTGACCCCTATGTTCTATTTTTAGCCATGGCGGCCATGTTTGTCGATGGATCAAAACTTCGGATACAATTTATAAACTAGATACCCTAAGGAACATTTAGTTACAGTTTGAAGGTATTTGGCCCAGTAGTTTCAGAGGAGAAGATTTTTGAAATAGTTTACGACGACAGACGACGACAGACGACGGACGACGACGGACGCCAAGTGATGGCATAAGCTCACATGGGGCCCTTCGGGCCCCGGTGAGCTAAAAACTGACCGCCAGGAAATAGCACAACAGTGCTGAAATTGGCATTAAACACCAATCAATCAATCAATCAATCAGTCCTTCAGTGGTTGTTCATATTAACTGACTGCGATAAATTCAGTACTGTTCATACAATTTGCCTGCAGACAATTCAGTACTGTTCAGTAGCTTTGTACAGTTAATTGAGTGCAAGCTAAGGGAGCTACAATATGATTTTTATGGGGGGCTAGGATGAAAAATTTTGTCCTGCCTTTTTATTTTTCCCTCTATTCGGTCCTGCCTTTTTATTTTTCACTCTATTCGGTCCTGCCTTTTTTTTTTAGTTTATCCTGACTCTTTTTTTTTACATAAATTGTCATCCTGCCTTTTTTTTTTGCAAATAATCTCATCCTGTCTTTTTTTTACTCAAAACTCCTGTACGTCCTGCCTATTTTTTTTCAAATTTCATCCTAGCCACCACCCCCCCCCCCCCCCCCCCCCCCATAAAAATCAAATGGTAGCTCCCTAATGGTCTGAACAGATGTGCACGAGATGTTGCCCAATGGGTTATTTCACTAGGTTTAGTAAGATAACTGCTTACAGTCGATTTGTAGGTATAGATAAAAACCTGAAAAGTGTCTCATTCATCCTCAGTCCTGAATTTACTAAAGTCGATAAGTCAGAAAATTTACTTCATAATGTGTTGTTCAGTCTTTTAAGACCTGTTCAGATCAAAATTACCGGTTAAGACTAAAATGCATGTGCTATTGACTTATCGTCCAAATAACACCACCATATTAAATGGATATTTCCTCAGTACGGTAGGTCTTTTTACCGCCAACACAACCGCACACCACCGAACATTACCAGGTATTAACCACCTAGTAACTTCTAGAAGAGGGACGAAAGATACCAGAGGGACAGTCAAACTCATAGATCGAAAACAAACTGACAACGCCATGGCCAAAAATTAAAAGACAAACAGACAAATAATAGTACAGATGACACAACATAGAAAACTAAAGACTAAGCAACACGAACCCCACCAAAAACTGGGGGTGATCTCAGGTGCTCCGGAAGGGTAAGCAGATCCTGCTCCACATGTGGCACCCGTCGTGTTGCTTATGTTATTACAAATCCGGTAAAAAGTCTAATTCGGTAGGTCACATTCGTGAAAAGGGAAGGGTATTGTAGTTACGACATAAGGAACATATCCGATATCATCTGTGAAACGGTTATTCCATAACGGTCAACCAACTCGTGATGGCGTCCGTAAAATTTACGAAGTGGTTCCACTTTCTGTTGTTTGACTTGTTTGAGAAGAAGTAGGATCAGCCTACTCTTTTTCATCTGATTTACTTCGTCTTCTGATGGAAAGTTTTCAGTTGTAAACAAAGCTAAATCAATCGCCAAAAAACCATGCCAAAGAAAACGCCCTACAAATGAAAGGACGGGGGGTCAGCCAGGAGATGAACAATTTAACTTATTTTGATATTGTAAATTTTTGCAATATCAAGGATTTGTATAATAAGTACTATACAATGTCAAATCCTTGGTAATATATATACAAGA